GCTAAACTATAATGGGATAGGGTTTGCCTACCACTCAGGAGTGAGTAAAGCTGTGCTTTAAGTGAAGGTAGAAGCGTTGAATCCATATTGTTGGCTGAACGAAGTGAAGCGAATGGATTTTGATAGGTCATGTCACTGACATGGATGATGGCCGATCGTCCATGGGGAGATGAAGCGATGAGATCGGCTCACGTGTGCAGGCGCTGGGGTGGCTTGTCGCATCACAGATATGAGAGGTGGCAGCAGCTTGGGAAGGCCTTCATCCAGCAGTGGATTGACCATGGCTTAATGATGCTGGAACAACACTTATTGGAACAAAAATGCGAATTGGAAACAGTGTCACTTGAAACTGAGCCCAGTAAATTCGTTACCATACCTAAGTCTGGTATGAATCTCAAGGCTGGATTGTAATGCCAAACCCACATTATGTGAGTTGCAAAAGAGATGGTTTGCAAATTATTTTATAAACCAGTCACTACTGTGCAAAGCAAACCACCACGCCTCACCAATTTTGTCATTAATGATTCAATATATATTCGTGAGGCCTATGAGCAAATCACCTGGAATGTGCCTGATCTGGTCCCATCTCGGAAGCTAAGGAGACTTGAGCCCGGATAGGGCTATGGATAGGCGACTAGCCCAGTATGATGGTGCTCAAGGCTGCTGCTGGGCTATGTTGTCAGCAGAGGGTAATTAAACTACATGTATGTATTCATTGGTTTTTTTCGGTAAAGTCACGTATGTAGAAATACAATAAAATGACATTAATTTTATTGTATTTCTACATACGTTACTTTACTGAAAAAAAACAATGAGTAATTTTATGCAGTCACGAAAGCTTTAATTACCTTATCTACATGTATGTATGTTGAATTTCTTTCGTACCTTACGTAGCCAACTGTGCTAATCTAAAGTACTATTAACCAACATCTATGATCCCCACCTGAACCAGTCTGCACTGATCAGCGTGGTGAAATATGGTCACACAGCCCCCACGACCCGCATGGCATCCAGCAGTGAATTGACAAATGGTGGTCGCTAATATTCACTTACCATGCCGTTCATCTAGCTGTCACATTTCCGGCCTGACCAATTAATCGCCCACACCATGTGCAGTATTATGTGCACAGCTTAATGTTACACAGTGCGCATGACAGTGCTGTCGTTTTCTATGGATGATCGCGAATCTGACCTATTCACACAAAGTCATGTATACATTTAAGGTACATTCCCTTCTAAGTCACAGTCAAACATTCCCCACTTTCTCCATCCACCTCTCCCCTGTTTAAGGTAGAAGGCGCTTTGTTTGTCCAGTGCGTCATGGCTAGGCGAGATAGAATGCAACGTTTGACTCTAATGGGGGAAAATGGTATTCACTATTGATGATCCATGTAATGCATAGGAACACCAAGGGTTCAAATTGTTCCAGCTCTAATTTTACGTGAGTGTGCTTGCCCATGCAAGTCGTCGATACAAACAGTCATAGATTAAATTAATTCTTCCACGAGAAGCCACACTAATAGCGAAAAGTTTGCCCAGACTGGATTATTACACTTGTAATATGTAGCCTTACCATTGAGGAACACAGATGGTAAGAATGACTCGCGTGAGTGATTGTGTGCACTTAAACGCTTCTGCTTGTGCATGTGTACACGTAGGTGTGTATTTCGCGGAGTGGTAGTGATTATCCCACTGCACTACAACCCGCATTCTATTCCCGCTTATGGCCAACATCAGTGATGGATATCTGAACCGGTTCTTGGCCTGGTCGACTCAGCCTTAAATGAATATCTCATACAGTGTGTAAACATTGGCATTGGGGAGACGAAGGTGGCCGGGCGTAGTACCAGCTACCCACCCCCTTGTGTGCCATGCCAGCCTTAATGGATACTCGTAAATAGAACTTGCACCAAAAGTATTTTAGAAGCAATAAGGGGGATCTTGGTTTTATTTTGTGTGCACATGTGGGAAGTGGTGGCGTAGTGGTTAGTGCCCTGTGCTACTAAGCACTAACCCAGCGACTTGGCTTTGATTCCTGGCCATGGATAACATCAGTGGCGAGTGATTTTAGAAATAGGGCTCCCCTAGGTCGGTGCGAATGAGTAACTGGCGTGGTGTATGAACAACCATCACTGGAGAAACAACAATGACAATGCGTGCTGCTGACTTATCACCCCCTTCATGTGCTCTGCTCACTGACAGCACTTGTTTCACCATCTGAATGGCCAGATGTGGGATCTTTGTGTGTGTGTGATTGTGGCCTTCATAGGTGCCCTATCCGGGCTTCAAAGCACTTGCTCAGACTGATAACTCTGAAATTCTAGCTCGCTGGTGTGATTTTGCGTTATCTCGCATGTTGTTCGGCATGATGACCTTCCTGAAAAGTCTTAAGACTTCCGAAAGGCTTTCCTGGGTAAATATAGGACAACTGCTACCGCTGCATATTTGTTAGCAGTTGTCTTTGTGCAGCTAGGTCTCTGATGTGTTTTTTGAGTTGTACCAGTAACTTCAGAACCAAATTCAATGAATAAAGAAGAAGCTCCAGAGTATGTGGAGCGAAACGTCGGACATTGTGCGGAACAGCACCCGCTAAAACCCGAAAATTCATAACCTGAGAGTTTTACGGCAACCGCAAAAACAACGTAGTGCTATAACTCGAAGCTTGGCCACGTAATTTTATGTTTCTGTGTCTTCGTTGATCTCGGTGGCGAGATGTTAACTACATTGCCTAATATGCAGGAGATCGTGGGTTTGATCCCGACTCTGACTCCTGTGTAACTGGAGTTTGCATGTTTTCTCCCTGTGGTCGTGTGGATTTTCTCCGGTTCCTCTGGTGTTTCGCTCCACATTTAGAAACTTGCGTTTCGAGTATTTGGCCGCTATAAATTTTCCACATGATAAACCACGTCTTTGAGCTATCATTTGTGGTCAGGTCACTTATGAAAAAGAGCTATATTGTTCAGTGGGCCTTATCTGGTAAAATAAACATAGTTTTTAGTTTCACATTTGCATTTTTGACGTCTTGCATATGTAGCTGGTAATGGCACTGTCGTTACAAATACATATGTCTGCAGTAGTTTCACAGGAGGGGATGATGCTACTATGTATAATCGCAAGTGAGTAAATTTGCAGGTATTTTTTTTTATTTGGCATATGAACCTTATGGTGGGACCCGGGGTCCCGAATAAACGGAAGTCAAAATCGTAATTAATTTTTTTTTCTGGCGATTCCGTCCCACCGTGCACATAAACGCCGCGACCCACCTGGCACGGATCATTTTTTTGTTATATTGTCCAAGCGCAGCGAGGACGAATGCGCAGAAGAGCTGAACAAACGAATGCACTGCATGCTCGGGTATGGGCAGGATCTTAAGTTCTATCCAAAGCTGCTCAAACTGCCTACACGACCTAAGTCCTTTATTTGTCATAACGGTATGCATAATACAGTGAAACTGCTCTCTTATCTGTATTATTATTTGTGACCTACCAATGTCTGCAGCCAGGATCAATCGATGACAATACTATTCCCTGCAGATATTTAACAGATGAGATGCGTTGCACTGTTAATTCCTCCTGTTTGAGAATACTTCTCTTGTCCGTATGCATCTGTGCAGATGGCTTTTTTTTGCGTTTAAGCCATAGTCCCCACATACCGCTCGTATCAATGCGGATAAGAGGAGCCGCGACCCACTACTCTGAAGAGTAACATTGGTATAAACGCTTGTTACAGTATGAACAGCACATTGAAAACGCGTACTATTTCATGTACTGTTTACAAAGTGTGTTCGCAAATCCACACTGAGAAATACGATGATTGACAGGGATATAAAGTTTATTTTCGATAGTGTATTTAAATAGAGGTACTGCAGGTAAGTAATTTCAGTTTTTAAGGCATAGTTTAACAAGACAACACTTGCCACCATCCTTCAAACCCATTAGTGAAAAAGAGCAAAGTTTTTGTTTACAAACTCGATTTGGTGCTTTTGTGACTGCAGGAATTAATCTTTGTTTTTTTCGGTAAAGTCACGTAGCAATAAGAAAAAATAAAATTACATAATATACGACGTTTCGATTGCAACACAAGCAATCATCATCAGGTAGAGGAAACACATAACCGCAGATATATATACAGACCTTAAGTAGAGATAATTAACACAGATATACCAGGGGATACAGAGAGACGGAGCATCACATTAAATCAAACAGGGTTTAGAAAAATTTGGAAACTATGTAAAGCAACACAGACGGTCGGTTAAAACACAATTAACGCATGGTCTGGTTGAATACACTATCTCAAAGATTGTTAAATTGTAAGTTGAGTGTGAAATTTAAGATAGTGATAGAATACATATCGTAGAGAGACCTATGGGGGGAGACACGCACACAGTTAAGAGGTAAAGCAGCTCTGTACCGAGGCCTTAAATAGCCAGAGATGGAGGGACTGGGTCTCAGAGACAATGGGACACAAATTAGCATGATACAAGTTGTCAGGCACACAGAGAGGGTGCCGCAGCGCACACTTAGAGACACCCAGGCACACAACTATAGGCAGAGACAGCACAGCGACATAAACCCAATTCAAGACACAAAGGCAGATACACCAGCAGAGAACACAAAGACACAGATTTCATACCTCCCCGAAGAGGTGGTTCAAACTCGATTTGGTGCTTTCGTGACTGCAGGAATTAATCTTTGGTTTTTTGTTTACATTTTAATATGTTTTAGTGAGGGCCTGGGGCTTATGGGACCCCGGGGGCCCACCATAAGGTTCATAAGTGGACCATGAAGCGAGCACACAATGGCCTTTTTTTTCGAATGCCATCACGGTATCTGTATTATCCACTGCGAAGCAGATGGAGCACAATATTGTACGGTTAATACACCTCATAGCAATAGCCAGGGAGGCTGACCATATTTGAACCGCAAACTTCTATAACAAGTGGCGAACGTGCTACTGCTGGGCCGTGTCACCGCCCCAATAACATTTCCTCTCTCTCGCAGGCGGAAGGTGTGAAGACGACAAAAGGTTAACACTGGCCACACCGCTGTCTGCCGTGCGTCCGCTCAAGAATTTATTCTGCGCCCTTGAAGGCATTTGGTGGCGACTAAAAGTATGTGTGATTGCGACACACGCACATAGACAATGCACAAGCCAGATTGTTCAAACCGATCTTCCTTTTGGTGTTGATAAAGTACTGCCATTTACAATGTTTAAGTTCCTTCTCGGTGATGCTCGTGTCTTTGTCTTGATGATAGGATGTGTGTGTGCGTGTAAGGATATATGCGCGGCATCCTAAAATTCGGCCGAGGTGTATGGTGATATTTTTAAGTCTTCATCATCTTATAAACGTCGTTTAGACAACAATAATGCCCACTAATAAAGTATTAAAGCTTTCGTGACTGCATAAAATTACTCATTGGTTTTTTCGGTAAAGTCACGTATGTAGAAATACAATAAAATTATATTAAAACAAAAAACAATCACGACGTTTCGATCACAACACAAGCGATCTTCATCAGGCGTCAAGAATAAATCACGGAGGTAAATACAACAAAAAGATGAGAGACGAGAATTCAACAAACCTGAAAAAACATTATGTGAAGCACATCCAGTCAGGCCAACAACACAGACACTTCCTGGTGGACCACGAATTTCAGGAGTGTTAAATTTCGTGTTCAACCTTTGGATTGCACATACCAGCATAGATAGAATGAAAAATACGAGGTACACGGTCAGTAGAAATACATATACAAGTCCACCAAGAGGTAAGGAGGGAGGAAAGACAGACAGGGAGGCAGAGAGAGAGGGGGGCGCGGAGGGATGAACAGAAGCTTAAATAGGAAATACGGTTGGAGGGGGGAAGGGGCCAGAGCGAGAGCGGCAGCTCAAACACGCACATATTTCTACATACGTGACTTTACCGAAAAAAACAATGAGTAATTTTATGCAGTCACGAAAGCTTTAATACTTTATTATCACACTTCTACGGGGAAGTTACCGGTGTAATTATGTGTAAGATGTGCCCTTTTTTGAGCTGCCGTTTTGTATTTACAAGAGGTGGTAAATTTTTGAGCTGCCGTTTTGTATTTACAAGAGGTGGTCCTTTTTTGAGCTGCCGTTTTGTATGTGTAAGATGTGCGTGTTTGAGCTGCCGCTCTCGCTCTGGCCCCTCCCCCCCTCCAACCGTATTTCCTATTTAAGCTTCTGTTCATCCCTCCGACCCCCCCTTTCTCTCTTCCTCCCTGTCCGTCTTTCCTCCCTCCTTACCTCTTGGTGGACTTGTATATGTATTTCTACTGACCGTGTACCTCGTATTTTTCATTCTATCTATGCTGGTATGTGCAATTCAAAGGTTGAACACGAAATTTAACACTCTTCTGAAATTCGTGGTCCGCCAGAAAGTGTCTGTGTTGTTGGCCTGACTGGATGTGCTTCACATAATGTTTTTTTCAGGTTTGTTGAATTCTCGTCTCTCATCTTTTTGTTGTATTTACCTCCGTGATTTGTTCTTGACGCCTGATGAAGATCGCTTGCGTTGTGATCGAAACGTCGTGATTGTTTTTTTAAATATAATTTTATTGTATTTCTACATACGTGACTTTACCGAAAAAACCAATGAGTAATAATGCCCACTGTTTATCCAGGAAAGCCTCTTTCAGTCTTAAAACCTGTTAAGGAAGTGTCATGCTACATTGGGATGTTTGGCAATTTCTCTTCCTGAGAGATTGGTACCTGGGATGAAATTGGAGTGTGGAGGAAACACCCGTGTAAGAGGGAATAGCGCTCACAGCTCCACACAGATGGATGCAGTTCACAGATGTATTTCAGCTGTCTGGGAGCATTGACACCGAGTGAGAGCCGTGCACATCATGATTGATCAGTGGTTGCGAAATCACTCTTTGAATGTTCAGAATTGCTGCTGACTCCAGCATGCCCCACTTGGGTAGGCAAGCTAAGAGACATCACCTCGGTTTTCTAAATTATTCACGGGGTTATTTATTTAGAGCATATGACCAAATCACCCAGGATTATTATTTATAATTATAATAATTATTCCACTTGCTTGCCCAGAAAAGCCTCACGGAGTCTCACAACTGTTTTTCCAGATGGTCCTGCCATGTTTTGTTGCTATGTGCTATACAAATTGAGTAATTTGCAATGGAATTTGACTGTAACAATACTAGTTACTATGTATGTTTTAGCTAGGAATGGGCCTGATCTTGTCGGATATCGCAAGCTGAGTGGGGTTGATCACAAACAGTTTTGGTTATTTAATTTTGTTTAACCATTCTCATTTGTAAGAGGGACATGGATCTAGTGATTCTATAGGTGACTGCCTGGCACAGACAGGAGTTACAGGTGGGTGCGGCCTTACGTGGTGGGCAGCAGAGGGGCAGTGCAGCAAACACCATTGTTATACTCTACTTATATGCTCCCACGTCTATACTTAACCACACTGTTGTCTATGTGGTGTGTGAAAATTGATTAAAATAATGAAAATTAAATTAAATTTGAAATTTAATATGGTATGTGAACTCTCAATCTCGGAATTTCAACACGGTATCAATACAGTATCACCACGAGAGTGTGGTTTCACTTCGATATTTCCCCCCCGCATAACGCAATTGTTAGTGAGGGAGAGAGTCATTAAAACATGCTTGCAAGCTATTCTAACAAAACCTTAACTTTATAATAGATGATTATACTTGAATTGTTCACGCAGTACCGCACTCCTTATTGATCATATGCAACCCGTATCACATTGTTAGCACATTGGGTCACGGAACAATTGAGTATTCTGTAGAGTACGCGAGTACGTGCGGCGATTATGAACGAAAGGTACTTTAAAGATTATACGGCGATATAAAAAAAGTAATCAAAAACAGTTATTATTCTCAAAGGCACAAATATCCATAGATCCATAGGCAAGGTTATATGACTACTGAAATGGCTTGGAGTAAGGGCATGCGATGGTGTGCTCTTTTTCCCTCGAAGATCTTTATCTTATACCAAGTTTTAATTAATTGTGGACCAGATCGCCTGATAAGGATCTGGTGGGACACACCATTCTCCACGTGATCGTGGCTCTGCGGAAGAAGGTGTCAAGAATCAATTCGTATTGATGGATCTGTTGGGAATTTATGCGATAAAGAGTAGAGCCCACTAAATATTAAGGAAGAAATGATTATACTTGTAAAACGACAAACTATTATCACCCGATCTGTAGCGATGCCTTCACGTTTAGATGCTTCTCGTTTTGGGATTGTCCTTGTTCCTGATATAAATTGTTTTAAATAGTCAGTGTTCGGAGTTGATTCTTTACGTCAAACAGACGCCTGGTTGTCGTGTGGTGAGGGGGCGGTGCGCATCACACGTATCAGTCGATTCTTCTGTCACCGTGGTGAACTGGTTCGGATGACCAGTTGACACGCTGTTGCAGTTGCGGAACTCGGTCGGTAGATGGCGCTCCCACACCACGCTCATAGCGGCGCGGTTGAGCGCTGGCGATGCACGTTGTTGTAGTTGCGAGTTTATGTCGGTAGATGGCGCTCACAGCACGCTCGTAGCAGCGCGGTGGTGTCGTCGTCCGGCCCCGTCGCTACATAGCGACCCTCGCCACTTCGGCGACAGCAGAGACATCCTTCGCGTCGGCGGCGGTTGATCTCCTGCAGGGACGCGTTGAGCTGGCAAGCGGGTCTTTGCTGATGAGCTGTCGGCAAGCTGATGAGCCGAGCTGAGCTGAAGTGATGAGCTCCTTGCTGGTGAGCTGAGGAGCTGAGCTGATGGGCTCAGCTGAGCTCCCGGCGAACTTAGCTGAGTTCTGGGCGAACTGAGCCCCGAAGGGCCGGCTCCGGTGAGCCGACCGAACTCCTCCGAGTTCCGACGGAACTGACCTTTCAATGCTGTAGCGTTCTCTTTCATGCTAAAAATCCCTTCACTTGGATCTTCCCATAAGGCGGGGCTTCTTTCGATTTTTGCTGTGTCATGATCTGTCCGTATGTGTGTGTCTGTACGTGTGTCAGTGTGTGTCCTTGTGTGCATCACCCACGGCATATTCCGCTGTCATCCTCCTTCCATAAAGCACCAAAAAGTAAAACACCCAGACGTTACAAATCGTCAAAGGAGGCGTCTCTCTGTCTGCCTCTCTGTCTGCCAGTGCGAGAGGGAGGGCAAGCTTCCCTCCATGCATGTCGTGTCCCCGATACACAAGGGAATGGTTAAAAAGTTTTAAGTTAACATTTCATTTCACCACCGTTCCACAGTTATGATTTGGTATGTAACCCAAGGTCTGTCAGCTTTCCATTGTGGTGTTTGACTTTATGTCAAGGGAAGGTGCTCCCTTAAGCGTAAGCATATTCTTATCATGTACTGCAGGGAGACAAAGGCGGCTGGGAAACCCTCTTTTTCTGACCCTGGGTTTAACATCGCCCAAGTCATGCAGTTTATGTTTGTGTAAGCGTAGTATAGTTTAAGGTGAATAGCGCCAACTCTAACGTTATGTATGAAATTATGTATTGTTTTATCTTACTTAAAACTTGCTTGGGTTTTCGCTGACACGCTGTCATTCCAAGCCCCCGCCCTTATTCCTGCTCGCACGGGGTGGTCCCGGCACCCTTTGCCCCCACTCTCTACCCGCCCGTTGTTGCCAGGCTCTTTAGCTTACGTTGCAGTTTTGCTGTGCGCTTGTTTTTTTTCCTCTCTAACCTTATATTAACTCTGCTTATTATTCTCTTATGTCTGGAGGTTAGAGCATTCATTTTGACTTAGGAAAATTCTGATTGTCATATGCTTCGGGTCAAGTTGTATAGAAATTATTAAAATATGGAAATAACATTTCATATTGACTTAATAGATGGGTGATGTTCCATGATGTAGCTTGTGGCCTGGTTTAATTGGAGTGGGTGTGAAGATCAATAACTTTAGCCTACCCTGTTGTTGAATTTCGAACTTTACGTTACTTTAATAGTAATGCAGGATAAATGGTTGGTTGTTTGGCTTGGCTGTCTGCGGCTAGCGCAAACTCTCATTGACCCTGGCTTTGTGTTTACGTCAGTCTCTTGCAAATCGCTGTGCTCTGCTCTCTGTCTGCTCCCTCTGACCCTGGGAGTTTGTGAACTGTCAAAATCGTGTTAGTAGGTCATGGTAAATATGACCTCCACATGCCATGCTGAGGCCTGGGTTGGTGTTGTTTTTTATTAATTATATATATTTTAAAAACAATAGAAATATGTATCTATATGTATCGGAAAATTACTTGTTAATATTAAGATGGAAAAAGGGGGCATATATACAACAACACTGACCATCATACAGTGCAATGCAATATCGTACTGCAAAAAAAAATCCCCGGTATCGCCTTAATAGGCTGTTGGGGCAAGAGCTGTTAGCGAGAACCTGTGAAGGCCGGAACAGCACACGAGAGGGTCGGTGGCCAGCACCACGCCCGACCGCCTTTGTATCCCTGGTGGTGATGTTTACTCATCGCACTAAGTACTCATTTGAGGCTGAATCGACCTAGGGGAGGCCCAGGACCGGTTCAGATAATTGTCACTGGTGTTAGTCGAGAGCAGAACTTGACTCAGGTTGCCGGGTATGTAGTGCGGAGCGTTAACCGCTACACTACTGCGCGCCTTTATTTTCCTGCACAGACAGAGGGACATGCACATCGTGAGTGGGATTGCAGGCAAGAGGAAGGATTTTTTGTATAAAGGAGAAATGAAACAAGGAAGCAGGGTACAGGAGAAAATTTACTTCATTTGTCATCTGAGCTTTGCGTTGAGACATCGGCACAGAAAAAGAAGAATGTCTGAACCCAGGACTTGAATTGGGAAACGGAGTGAATGTAGTGGACAGCTAGAGCCAGTTCATATGAACATATTGGCGTTACACCGGTGATGCGCGGTGCAAAAATAAATTCGCAATTTTTTTTGCGCGGTGCCACAAGAGTCAGGAGGTCATAATCCCAGTCAGAAAGTCTTGCAGGGGTGGCGGTGATGCGTCAAAATCGGTTCTCGTGATGTCGAAGCAGTCGGAAGACGAATGTTATGAGCGGCTGAACATGAAGCTTCATAGTCTGTTGCCGAATAGCACCCAGCCTGATGACTTTTTGGTCAATGTTCCAAAGGCATATTTGACTCATACCCTAGACTTGGTTGAATTTGAGACTGATTTATGAGGACCGGTGTGTCATGCTGCACCAGTGTACTGCCAAATACGTCCATATACCTGTTCGGGCATGACTGCATGCATGACATTGTCACCAATTGTTACTTGAGTCGACCACCTTCCACTTGGTCTCCGCACACCACAAAGGCAAACGGAGAATTAGTGAGATTGTAACAGGATGATAAATGTTACCAGTGAGTGCACTTTTTTATGCTCACAGATTGTGACTGTGTCCATGCTGCTGATCCATGTGTTAAAGTAGTAAACAAAATGTGTTATATTGTAACTAGCTTTACTACCTGGTTTCGCACGGGACTTGGAATCTTGTCTTGTATGAATTTCATATTCCCTTATGTTTAACTGAAAAACGCTGAAAAAAATGTATGCTTACAAGAAAGAAAAAAAGCTGAAACAAATCAATTTAACTAAATCGTATGTTTTTCACTGAATGAAAAATCAACCTTAACCCACTTATACGTAAGGTCGATTTAGGCAACTCAGGGAGGGAATGACGTGGCGAGCTGAAATTACAGCTATTTTGCTGTGACTGTTCCACCTGAAGACGGAAACTTGTGTTGCCTCCGAAACGTCGTGATTTTATCGTGTTTTAATTGATTTTATTTTACCTATGTGTCTTTACCGAAAAAACAAAGAGCTCAAAATAGTCGCGTTCCCTTAGAAATTCCAGACAGCATAAGCTTTGCAAATTTCATGACGTCACAGGTCAGCGTTCGAGAGTTTTTTCTGCTTCACACAAACAGATTAATAGCGAGATGAAAATAGTCACGTTGACTTAGAAAATCGAGACAGCTACACTGCGCATTTGTGCGGGATACACGGCCTACGTGGAGGGTGGGGGGGGGGATCCGAGAGGTCAGCAGGCACACTTCGTAATGCTGCCGCATGCGGGTGACATCACAGATGTCACGTCACCGCTCACTTGCCGTGCAATATATTATATGCATTATTGCGCCCCCCCCCCCAAATGCAAAAGTATATTTTTAGACTTTTTGCATTGTGCACAGTCTGGAAGCTACCGACATGCCAAATTTCAAGTTTGTTGCATGTTGGGAAGTATGCTAAACATTTTGAACAGACACACATTCACAAATTTCCCTTTTTTATATATATAGATGTAATTATCTCCCAATGCATTCAATATATAGGTGTGGGAGAGTGCTCTACCTGGTGTGGACAAACCGTGTCCGTTGAAGGGGTATCCGAAGCAGTTTTGTACTCTGGAGTAATTTTGCAAGTCTGTTTGCGAGGTGGCTCGGTGTCTTGGGACTCGGAGCGCTGAGCTGGCTGCCTTTAAATCCGGTTCTCAAAGGCATCGAGTTGACCGTCTTAACCTGATCACCAAAGACTGCAAGCAAAAAAAAACACACAATTTGAATTTTAACCGAATTTTTGAAAATGATAATAATCTATCGAAGTTATCTAGGCAGCATTTCTGTGACGTAAAAAAAACGTTGACAATGTTGTTTGGTCGATTTATCGCCCTGTCGTGGGGGCAGCAGAGATGGGCTTCGGGCTGTACATGCAGCAGTCGCACGATGCGCTGGTCACACAGCAGGAGTGCGAGATGCGGCTGCTGGAGGCCGTGCGCAAGCATGTGGCGACGCGCGCCAAGATCGACCGTGACTACGCGGCCCAGCTGCAGCACCTGTGCGCCCAGACAGAGCGCCCTGACCTCAGCCACGTCAGCCAGGTCGCCAAGGTCAGCCGCGTTGCCACCCCGCATTGCCAACCAGGTGATAGGTGGCCACCAGGGTCAGGAGGTCACCGGGATAAAGCAAGTCACCAGGGAGACAAGGCAGTTTCACTGAGTGCCACATTGTAGGGGAAGTCAACAGTGGTTGTCTTATGGACTCTTCCCCCAATATAGGAATGTGGAATTTCGACCACTGGCCCTACAGGGCTCTAAACGGGATAAGCACCACCTCAGTTCTCATTTGACCAGGAACTCACACTAAGTTTTATATGTACAGTAAAACCTTGGATTGCAAGTAACTTGGTCTGCGGGTGTTATGCAAGACGAGCAAAATTTTTTAATAAATATAAATTTGATAAACGAGCGAGGTCTTGCAATACGAGTAGTACGTATACGCTTTAACACGTAGGCTTTCGCGACCAATATGTATTATTTAATAATACGCATTACAATTCCTTATAGGGGAAACACATACTAATTAACGGATTACTAACGTAGCATATAATCACAATAACACACATTACAACTAATTACTAATCTACAACTCATTACTAATCATAACCATTGACTGATTACCAATCGATTATATAATTACAATACCCCCCCCTGCCTCAAATCACTGCACTTGAAATGAGTTAAATGATGACGTCACCCTGCTGCTCTATTTAAGACCGGGAGCAAGCGAGGGCTTTACCATTCTGGCGAATTGCCCAATGATGCTGGATGTATTTACCAGCGAAACGTCGTACTCAAACTGTAAATGTTGTGGATTCACTCTTCCACACACCGGTGGGCTAAAGTAGTGAACTATTTGTCTTTTGTCACCGTGACACTTTTTGGCTGATTGGCCGTGTCGGGTGGTGGAGGTTTAGGACAAATTTAAAAATAACACGATCTAACCCAAAAACCTTTATTATGAACGTATACGCTTTGTCTGCCGAGCGTCACGTGATTACAACTGATATACGAGTGCTTTGATATACGAGTGCTTTGGATTACAAACACGTTTTCGGAACGAATTATGCTCGCAATCCAAGGTTTTACTGTAGGTTGAATTCTTTCGCACCGTACTTATCCAACCGTGCTATCGGAGGTGAATGTTTTGACATTCACAAAAGCAGTTACTTACCAAAAGAACCAAAGAGTATTCACAAGAGAGGTTACTTTTTTAATTTTACTTTTGTGAAGGAAATAGTTGCACCTAGACTCTTATATATGCAAGCTGAAACCAATGTTATTATGATGTTTATGATGAGGACTCTTTTTGAAACATACCTCTCCATTGCACAACTTCTACAAACACACACACACAATCTCAGTCGTGGGCGAGCATGGTGCAGCAGACGGAAGCGCTGGGCAAGGCGATGCGCCGGCAGTCGGAGGAGTTGACGACAGGGCCGCTCAGCAAAATTGCGACGCTCATCCGAGACAAGCAGCAGCTCAAGAAGAGCTATATGGAGTCGTACCAGCAACTACGCCTAAACCTCAACAAGGTGCGGAGCACGCCCATTCTGCTACAGTCTGAGAATTCCACCAGAGAGCCAACCAGAGACCCCACCAGAGACTCAGTCAGACACACAATCAGGGACCCATTTAGATACCTCTTCAGTGCCAGCCTATCAGTCTATTGTCTTGAGATCCTATCAGAGACTTGTGAGAGAGCGTATTAGCTCGAGACCCCATTGATAGACCGGTCTGTTGTTGTCTGCCGCTTGATGAGCGTTTCCCCCACAGGTGACGGTGACTGACATGGAGAAGGTGAAGGGCCAATACAGGCAGGCGTGTAAGGACGCCTCGGCCATCAAGCGCAAATACGGCGAGGCGGTCACCAAAGGAGGTTGGTAAATGCTATTATTTTTTTGTGCTCATATGTAAAATGTGCTGTGATTAATGCCTTAATCATCATTAGACCTCCTTTGCCAGTACCAAAATGTAATAATAGGGTTTTTCCCTTTTTTTCTGGCAACAAAACTGAAACCTTTTTACCAGGATTCATGTCTGCATTAACCACAATGCCTGCAGTCAAAATGCAAACAAAAAACATACTATGATAATATATGCATTGTCCTTGAAACTGATTGGTCCACACCAAGGGATGGCTTTCTTTTGAGCCTGGACCCAATTGGTGCTCGACCAGATGACGCCTTTTGGCGTATGTTTTTTGTTTGCATTTTGACTGCAGGTATTGCGGTTAATGCAGACATGAATCCTTGTAAAAAGGTTTCAGTTTTGTTGCCAGAAAAAAGGGGAAAACCCCTATTATTATAATGCCTTAATCTTTTAAGTTTGTGTTTTAGTTTTATGTCATCACCAGTTCATCGAGTTGATTGTTGAGCCCTTCATATTATTGGCCCCTTTTGTGATTCTGTTAAATTCCCGAGCCTCTTCATTCTCAATCACCTTTTATATTTTACTATCTTTACAACCCGGCTTCGCCCAGGACTTGGATTCTTGTCTTGGATTAATAAACGGGCTACGCGGAGGGTGGGGGGGATGCGTGACGTCAGCAGGCACACTGCGTGACGCTGCCGCATGCGGGTGACATCACAGCACAGATGTGACATCACCGCTCACTTGCTGTGCAAAATATATCCATTATTGCGCCCCCCCCCCTCCAAAATACACAAGTCTATTTTATACTATTTGCATTGTGTACAGTCTGGAAGCTACCCATATGCCAAATTTCAAGTTTGTTGCATGTCGAGAAGTATGCCAAACATTTCTAACAGACACACATTCACGAAATTCCTTTTTATATATAAATTTGTGCTGACATAAATAATTATGATTCAACCAGTAACGTTTCGCACACTAGTATTCGCTCGCTGTCGGAGAGAGAGAGAGCGAGAATGGCTTAATTGCGCGAGGAGTAGGAGCCACAGAGAAGTGGGAAGCCAGCGGCCAGGCGTGAAGGCAGCCTTCGTTATGGCCTTGTCTCACCACCGGTGTTAGACCAGACAACACCAAAAGGCGAACAATACAAATACAATGCAAGTATCAGAGCACTTATATATAGTTCACACATGTGTGGATCATGCATTTGCAAAATCCACATTTGTGTGATCACCAAAAGATTGCCACCACAGTACTGGATTACAGGCATGTGTCACCACCGCCCACCCATTAAACCTGGCTCTCAAGAAGTCATCCTTCACAACAATCGCATATCATAAGGAGTGAAACAAAATGTTTTGCCCGCATTTGTAAGGAACCACCTCAATATGAATTCTACAAAAGCAAAAACATCAGGTATCTGCTCGTACACAGCTTGATGTGTAACACCAGCGATAACAATAACATACCAGGCACCTTCCATGTGATCGGAGAACATGCAACACGCGTGTCTGCACATCAACTAGTACGCAGATCAAAACACCCAGAGCATCATTTGTGATGCTTATGGTGTGAAATTAACTGCACTTGGGTTTCATCACAACTTCACATGAGTCTATGGGTTTCTATGTTAATCTGTTGGTCTCTGTACGAGTCTATGGGTCTCTTAAGTGCCGCCAACTCACTACATTTGAGAACTCGGTTTAATCACAACTTTATATTATTATGTATGTATGTTGAACTTCTTTCACATCGTACGTGGCCAACCATGCTAATCGGAGGTGTGGTGAAGAACAACCGACTGATAAGGGCCACTACATTAATTTCTTGGTTTCTGCATGTTTGTGAGTCTCTCTATGTAAGTCATTGGTAACCGATCTGACACCATCACCTCGCTACACACTGAGAACCCCGGGTTTATTTGCGTGCGGCGCCTGAAACTCGGATTAGAACCCAGAATGTCAGTGGTGCCGTCTCGGCATCTCTGACCTCTGAGCCGCCCCATGGTCACCTCGCAACTCCCGGTTAAGTACCCCCTCAGCCCACCCACCGGCCCACTGGTCCACCCACCGGCCAACCCAACGGCCTCGCCCGCTCACCCGCCCACACCCTGTCCTGCTGTAGGTGCCAAGGAGGCGGAGAAGGTGCGCGATAAGTTGGTGAAGGCAACGCTGAAGCTGCACTCGCTGCACAACGCCTACGTGCTCTGCGTGCGCGGAGCCCAGCTGCATCGCGAGGCCTATTGCAGCAGCACCCTGCCGCAGCTGCTCGACTCCCTGCAGCACCTGCAGGAGGACGCTGTCGCGGTGCTGTAAGTGTAGCGTACATGCGCGCTTGCGGAGATCAATCCCTTCGCGGTCGATAAAAATACATTAACGGCGCTTTGTCCTGTGCTAACACTGATAATTGGCTCTTGTTATAAGCACCTTTCGCGACATCTTGAGGCGCTGTGCTTGAAAAGGATGAAGACAATGAAGACAATTGGGTTGGCACACTCAGAGTCAGACGTGGGTGTGGGGGGGCACCATTAGGGAGCTCCACATCCAGGTAGGGGGGGGGCACCAGTAGGGAGTTCCACATCTGGTTGGGGGGGGCACTAGTCAGGAGTTTGACATCTGGGTGGGGGGGGGGGCACCAGTAGGGAGTTCCACATCTGGGTGGAGGGGGGGCACCAGTAGTGAGTTCCACATCTGGCTGGGCACCAGTAGCGAGTTCCACATCTGGGTGGGGGGGGGGGGGCGCCAGCAGGGAGTTCCACATCTGGGTGGGGGCGGCAGTAGTAGGGGTTCCACATGTGGGGGGCCACTTCGGTAAACTACCAATCACCCCAAGGACATAAGTGATGAGGTTGATTTATCCATCGAAGGGCACCATTGGCAGATCTTACCAACCTTTGCCGGGAGGCATGATATTAACTCCTTGCTCCTGGATGTAAAGTGGAGGCGGCCTTCTCAAGACCTTGATAAATACGAGCAGCAAGATATTAACTTCCACTCGGCTACAGAAGCAGGGAGCCAATGTATGTATTTTTTGTTGTACTTCTTTCGCACCGTACGTAGCCAACCATGCTAATTGGAGGCGCAGAGGACAACAAACTAAACAAAGCAGTTTTAATGAACACTACGTAAACATAATTTCGTTTTATAGTTTATATTGGCAGCCTTCATAGGTGGTCACTAACAGGTGATCGCTAACAGCACTGGCCCCTACAGTCTGTTAAGGCTCAACGGGGGGGATTTTTGCCTTTGTTTTGATATTGGCAGCAAAGAGTGTCTACTCGACTACCTGCAAATGACGAGCCTGGTGCGCGACGAGGTGGTGAGGATGCAGCAGAGCATGGCCGAGGCGGTGGCCCTCATAGACCCCGGCACGGAGTACGACAGCTTCATCCAGCAGCACAGGTGAGGCGATGCCACAATCGCCGCTGCCACAATCGCCGCTGCCACTGCACGATGGCCGCTTGGGCGGATGCCCTTCTCTCCCCTACTCAGTCTCGTTTGTCACTCTGTCACCTGAATCATCTGCATCTCTTGTCTATAGCTCTCATCTCTCTCGTTCATTCCTCTTTTATCTGTCTTTATCTCGGCTAGCCATATCTCTCTATAAACCATATCTCCCTATTCCAAGGACACCTCCGTTTAGCGTTGTTAGCTACGTACAGTGCAAAAGAAGTTCTGCACACATACATACTCTCCATAGACTAACACTACCTATAGACTCAACATTACACCTCCAATTAGTGTGGTTGGCTGTGTATGATGCAAAAGAAGTTCAACGTACATACGTACATAGCCAATATGGGGCCCACACGGCACCACCAGTTCAAGACCCCTGCTGTATGATCTTAAAGTCTTGGGCTGTACCTTGAGATACAGCACTTATAAATGCTCAAATTTCATCATAAAAAGCTGCTACTGAGAAGAACCAGAAGATGCTTATTACTCTTATCATTGTTTGTTAGCCCATAAAAGCTGCACTGAGTCTCATCACTTTTTAAAGAGGGTCCTGCCAAGTTTTTGCAGCAGGGCTTGGTTGATGCTGCTACGGGCATCCCCAACCATGTAATTTTTAGGTAATTTTTCAGCATTGGGGTGTTTGGCGAATTCCAGTGATATCGAATGTTTTATTTTAGCTAGCTCCCCCAGGCATTTTAGGTGGCCGGGTGTTCAGTGGTCAGTGCCTAGCTGGCACTGGGTTTGAATTTAGGTGTCAACCACATGTGATGAAAACTCGTTTTAATCAAGTTAACTGAACTATAAGGAAGTTAACTGAACTATAAACTATTTTTCTTTTACCAGGTAAGGTCCACTGAGCAACATAGCTCTTTTTCAGAAGCGACCTGGCCACTAATCATAGCTCAACGAAGTGGGTTTTCATGTGGAAATTTAATCCAGCCAAATACTCTAAACGCATGTTTCTAAATGTGGAGGGAAAAATCGGTGGACCCGGAAATAAATCCATGAGTCCACGACGAGAGAGAACATGCAAACCCCTAATTTACAGATGTCAGGGTTGGGATCGAACCCACGACCTCCTGCATACCAAGCGTGGTAGTTAACATCTAGCCACCGCAGCACCCTTGATGGTGTCAGCCCGGTCACACTTTTAAAGGACAATTTAGAATATTTTTTTGGATTCTAATCGTATGCGCTGTTTTACTCATTGTGCTAACAATAGACACGTCGTCCAATGCCTGGTAATTTTTCCCTTCCTTCCCGTCTCATTCCCTTCCGCATCATGTCAACTCAGCTCCCAACCGCTGCACCTGGCTGGTGTGGAGTTTGACGTGAGCATCACGGAGGACGGACCTGAGGGCCTGGAGCCCAACCAGATCGTGCTCAACGAGCTCACGCTTGAAGACCTGCAGCACAGGTGGGACACGGCTTGTCCGCCTGCCTGCTCGCTCGCTCGCTCCTCGCTTTAACCCTCTGTGTGTAGGAAACGGATGCTGGTCCACTCTTTGTTCGCCAAGCGGTGTCGCTATTCATTGTCAATCAGGATTAGCAGCACCTCGGTCGAGGGCAGAATGGGGGCTGTCATCATCATGCAAGGACGCTGCGGTGCTTAGATGTTAACTACCTCACCTGGTATACAGGAGGTCATGGGTTTGATCTCAACCCTGACGCCTGTATATTTGAAATGTGTGTGTCTTTCTCCCCGTGGTCACGTGGAATTTTCTCCAGGTCCTTCGGTTTTTCCCCTCCACATTTAGAAACATGCATTTGGAGTATTTGGCTGCTATTAATTTCCACATGATAAGCCACATCGTTGAGGTATAATTTGTGGCCAAGTCGCAAGAGCTATATAGCTCAGTGAGCCTTACCTGGTAAAATGAAAGTAGTTTAGTTTATAGTTAATATCTGCTGTGATTATTAATTTCCTCATTAATGATCCTGCTGTTTGCGATGTTGTAATCCGTTCTTAAAAGTTTGGTAATTTTTTAACTCACTGGTCCACTTCTCCATCAGCATGGCTTTGGTGTTGGAAAGTGGCGCTTCTCAATCTTTTTGATTCCCCGGCACTTGCTTTCCAGCTTGCTCGACTTTTGCGGCACTAAGAATCAACAAAAATTACTGTGCGTCCTTTATCCAGCAGTGGATTGATCATGTCTGGTTTGTGTGTGTGGGTTTGGCGGCTAAAACACAGCAAGTCGGCGCAGTAGGAGGCACAGGTGATGCGTCGACCAGTCATCTCAGTTAGTCTGCCGATGGCACCTGAGTCTTGTCCCGAGACCTCCTCTACCAGCGGGCATTCGACACTTCACGTGGCCTTAAAGTGCACATAGCCTGGCACAAGCACTGTGGTGTCATCACCGCCACTTAGTGGCAAATGGCGGTTGGCCACTATGGACGGACTCGGTGCCATCATGGAAATGTGGAATTACCACAGTCGCGTGTTTAGCTTTCCCCCTCGATCAGCGAGTGTTTGCCAGGCCTCGTCGTGGATTCTGTTGGAACCGGGGACGCATGAGGCTCGGGATTAATCACTCCACCTGGGGGATTACTCTGCTCAGCCAATTAATTAAGAGAGAGTAGTGTGTTTTGTGTATGTTTTACTCAGTATGCGGGTACGTGTGTGTGTCTGTGTTTAATTGGTAATTGTTAGGATGGCTGTCTGTCTACAGTGAGGGAAAAAAGTATTTGATCCCCTGCTGATTTTGTACGTTTGCCCACTGACAAAGAAATTATCAGTCTATAATTTTAATGGTAGGTTTATTTGAACAGTGAGAGACAGAATAACAACAACAAAAAATCCAGAAAAACGCATATCAAAAATGTTATAATTTGTTTTGCATTTTAATGAGGGAAATAAGTATTTGACCCCTCTGCAAAACATGACTTAGTACTTGGTGGCAAAACCCTTGTTGGCAATCACAGAGGTCAGACGTTTCTTGTAGTTGGCCACCAGATTTGCACACATCTCAAGAGGGATTTTGTCCCACTCCTCTTTGCAGATCTTCTCTAAGTCATTAATGTTTCGAGGCTGACGTTTGGCAACTCGAACCTTCAGCTCCCTGCACAGATTTTCTATGGGATTAAGGTCTGGAGACTGGCTAGACCACTCCAGGACCTTAATGTGCTTCTTCTTGAGCCATTCCTTTGTTGCCTTGGCCGTGTGTTTTGGGTCATTGTCATGCTGGGATACCCATCCACGACCCATTTTCAATGCCCTGGCTGAGGGAAGGAGGTTCTCACCCAAGATTTGACGGTACATGGCCCTGTCCATCGTCCCTTTGATGCGGTGAAGTTGTCCTGTCCCCTTCGCAGAAAAACATCCCCAAAGCATAATGTTTCCACCTCCATGTTTGACAGTGGGGATGGTGTTCTTGGGGTCAAAGGCAGCATTCCTCCTCCTCCAAACATGGCGAGTTGAGTTGATGCCAAAGAGCTCCATTTTGGTCTCATCTGACCACAACACTTTCACCCTGTTGTCCTCTGAATCATTCAGATGTTCATTGGCAAACTTCAGACGGGCATGTATATGTGCTTTCTTGAGCAGGGGGACCTTGCGGGCGCTGCAGGATTTCAGTCCTTCACGGCGTAGTGTGTTACCAATTGTTTACTTGGTGACAATGGTCCCAGCTGCCTTGAGATCATTGACAAGATCATCCCGTGTAGTTCTAGGCTGATTCCTCACCGTTCTCATGATCATTGCAACTCCACGAGGTGAGATCTTGCATGGAGCCCCAGGCCGAGGGAGATTGACAGTTCTTTTGTGTTTCTTCCATTTGCGAATAATCGCACCAACTGTTGTCACCTTCTCACCAAACTGCTTGGCAATGGTCTTGTAGCCCATTCCAGCCTTGTGTAGGTCTACAATCTTGTCCCTGACATCCTTGGAGAGCTCTTTGGTCTTGGCCATGGTGGAGAGTTTGAATCTGATTGATTGATTGCTTCTGTGGACAGGTGTCTTTTATACAGGTAACAAGCTGAGATTAGGAGCACTCCCTTTAAGAGTGTGCTCCTAATCTCAGCTCGTTGCCTGTATTAAAGACACCTGGGAGCCAGAAATCTTTTTGATTGAGAGGGGGTCAAATGCTTATTTCCTCATTAAAATGCAAATCAATTTATAACATTTTTGAAATGCGTTTTTCTGGATTTTGTTGTTGTTATTCTGTTTCTCACTGTTCAAATAAACCTACCATTAAAATTATAGACTGATCATTTCTTTGTCAGTGGGCAAATGTACAAAATCAGCAGGGGATAAAATACTTTTTTTCCCTCACTGTATGTCATGGTTCTATTTGTATATTTGTACTCTTTGGTTTTATTCGGTAAAATCACGTAGGTAAAATAAAATAAAACAATTAAATCACGACGTTTCGGAGGCAACACAAGCTTCCGTCTTCAGGTGGAATAGTCGCAGATATTCTGCTGTGACTCTTCCACCTGAAGACACAGATATTCTGCTGTGACTATTCCACCTGAAGACGGAAGCTTGTGTTGCCTCCGAAACGTCGTGATTTAATTGTTTTCTTTTATTTTATTTTACCTACGTGATTTTACCGAATTAAACCAAAGAGTATGAATCCTTGCAGTCACGAAAGCTTCAAATCTAGAGTTGTATATTTGTGTTTGTTAACTGTGGTCATTTTAATGTCTATGTATCTGTATTTAGTTGTTTTAGGTTATTGACTATATTTCTATCTGTTAATTCTTTCATTTTACTGTCTGTTAACTATTTAATATCAATATTTGTGTGTCTATTTAATCATTATATGTTGACTAGCTTCTTTGCCCGTCTTCGGACGGAAGCTGTAATATTTACGAAAAAATTTAGAAGAGTATAATTTTAGCTTGTGTAAATTAAATGGCGGTAAATCTTGCACAAAAGTACGTCATCAAACACTTCACTGCATTTCACTGTAGCACTGGATATAACTGACCTTCGATTTGTTAAAATTCACTGCTCTGATACTTTATTCTCTCCTGCTTTCGGTCGCTGGGGTTGAAATAAATTGGAATTTTAAGCAATATATGCAAAATCACCGAGTAATTTCTATTTTACGATAATGTAGAAGCATAAATTAGACTTACCTTTTGTCTCAAGTGCTGAAGAAATAAATAAAGACACCAAATCCACTTTGTGGCTGTGTACAATTTTTTATTAGATTCACTTTCAATAAAGAAACGTCAAACTTAAAGCGAATTTGCGAATAAAATTATTTCCGCTCGACCTTCTTTTGCGCGAGTGTAAAATTCCACCCGCTCATGAATATTAATTACAGGGAGGGTGCGGGATGTGGAGTGACATTACGCGCGTTACACACAAACATACATTCTTGGTTCAAAGCTTTCGTGATGGCAGGAATTACTCTACGCTTCAAATCTAGTTTAAACCACCTCTACGGGGAGGGTTTGTCGTGCTTGTTTGTTTCACACTTAACTTCGAATTTAGCAATCTTTCGAAGAATGTAATCAGCCAGGCTATGCATTAACTGTGTGCTAACCGACTGTGTTGCATTGCATTAGATTTCCTCATTTTACTAAATTTGCTTTCTACCGTGCTTGTTTATTTGTGCATTCTCTCCGCCGACCGCTATGGGCAGTAATTCCACACAAGCTCCGTGCTTGTTTGTTTAGAAGTCCAGTGTCCAGCTCGTCCATCCCCCTATGGGCAGGAATTCCAGACAACTCCCCCTCTGCCCCAACCGCCCCACTCTCTCTATTTAAGGCCTCGACACAGGGACGTTGTCTTTCTGTGTGCCTATGTGTGTGTCTCTCTCTCTGTGTCTCTGTGTAAGTTTATCTCTGCTTGTGTGTCTGTCCTTGTGTCTCCGTGTCTATGTTTTGTCTCTCTCTCAATTTTAGCAATCTTTGGAAGAACGTAATCAACCAGGTGGGGTGTTGACTGTTTTGTTGGCCAACTCTCTGTGTTGTTTACTATGTTTGTTTTCTCATTCATTTGCACCTGATAATGGTTGCTTGTGTTGCAATCGAAACGTCGTATTCTATTATTATTTTATTTTATTTATTTCTACGTGACTTTATCGAAAGAACCAAAGAGACATTCTTGGCTCATTATAGTAGTAATGTCTGTGGTTGTGATTTTATTTGTTTAATTAGTGTCTGTGTGTGTATTGTTCTCTGGTCCACGTGTTCCTCTTTCGTCTCTCAGTGCAATTCCGAGCATGCGCCTCTCCATGTGAATCGTGTAACATATTAATTGATTTTGATTTAAAGCTTTCGTGACTGCAGTAATTCATATTCTTAGTTTTTTCGGTAAAGTCACGTTGAAGAGAAACAACAAAATAACAAAATATATATAAAACAATAAAACATTCTCACGACGTTTCGACCATAACTCAAACGGTCATCATCAGGTGTGTCGGTTTGCATAAATTTATTTTAAAAAACGGCGCATTTATTTATTTATAAAAAACGTTGGCGTCACGCGCAGCGATTGGCAGTTTGCCCAGGACTACTCCATCTATTTTTTGAAAAGAGGAGGGGGGAGACGAAATTTTTTATAATGTATGCTGTCTGAAAGCCACTGTAAGCGTGAACAATCAATCAAGAACTGAAATGATTTATCAAATCTTTCCAATGATTGCTAAGATAGAATCCATCTTCTCGGTTGAAATTGTCTCTGTGTTTGTATATGTGGATAGCCTCATGAACGAATCTCTCATGGAAGCCAGATGGCTTACAAAGAACCTCCGTCTTGGAAAAGTCAATGGCATGTGAGCCTACTGAATTAGAACAATGATCTGCTACGGCCGAGGTGTTGGTCCTACCGTGTTTAAGGTCTGCTTTATGTTCATGAATGCGGTCCGAGACATGGCGTTTGGTTTCTCCAATGTAACTACTACCACAGAGGCAACTTAGTTTGTAGACACCAGGGTATTGTATGTCCGGAATCACATCTTTTACAGACGGAACCAGATCACGGATTTTATGTAATGTTTTGAAACGGACCTGGATCTTGTGTTTATTCAAGATTTTGGAGATCTTTTTTGTGATCCCAGCAATGTAGGGTAAAGTGATGGTTTTGAAAGGCTCCTCAAGAGGGTTCTTCTTCATGGTTTGAGTGATAGCTTTGCGGATTGTATAGTCGGAGTAACCATTAGCCCTAAGAGCTTGGTGTACGTGCTTGAGTTCACTGCTTATGTGTTCCTGGTCGGATATGCATTGGGCTCTATGATACAGAGTCTTGATGAGAGAATTCTTCTGTGATGGATGGTGGTGGGAATCCGGTTTCAGATAAGCATCCGTATGGGTAGCTTTCCTGTAGACAGAGTGGCTCATTGAACCATCAGGTCTCTTTTTAATTAGGACATCCAAAAAAGGTATCTTGCCATCTATTTCGACTTCCATGGTAAATCTGATGGCTGGGTGTATGGAATTGATGTGGTCGAAGAATTGGTCTAGAGCAGGCCGGCCATGTGGCCAGATGACAAAAGTGTCATCCACGTACCTCTTCCATAAGGTTGGGCGCAGAGTGGCAGTCTGGATGGCGTCAGTCTCAAATTTCTCCATGAAAATGTTAGCTATAACTGGAGAAAGGGGGGAGCCCATTGGGGTGCCCTCAGTTTGTTTGTAGAAAGTTCCATTCCAAGTGAAGTATGTATTGGTTAAACAGTGTCTCACCAGGGGGGGTACCTCAGTGTTTAGTCCTTGATGAACCAAGTCTTCAATGATTGCAATGGTGTCAGGTACAGGAACCTTGGTGAATAAGGAAACTACATCAAAACTGACAAGCAGGTCGTCTGGGGACAGGGAAATACCCTTGATTGTTGATACCAGGTGAGTAGAATTTTGTACCGCAGAGGTGGTCTTTCCAGTGAAAGGACGCAGGATTTCAGACAAAAAACGAGCTAGTTTGTAGGTGGGGGAGCTGATAGTAGAGACTATGGGACGAAGAGGTGTATTAACTTTATGTATTTTTGGTAAGCCGTATAATCTTGGTGGCCTGGCAGCAGAAGGTTTCAACGAAAACTGTTTAGATTGATCAATTAATGCGGTTGAATCAGAAATTATTTTGTTGGTTTGTGTGACGAGGCTGTTGGTGGGATCTCTTTTTATTTTTGTATAACTACCATCGTCGAGTAATTCTTTAATTTTGTTGTTGTATTCTATTTTATCCATGATGACAGTAGCATTGCCTTTGTCAGCTGAGAGAACTACAATATCATTCCTCTTTTTTAATTTATATAATTCAAAACGCTCATCTTTGCTGAGGTTGCTAGCTGGCATCTTAGCGTTTTTGAGGGTTGCAGCGATTTCAGATCTTGCTACGTCTGCAGCGATGTGACCCAGGCCCCTGAGAGCAACGTCTACCTAGGCAATTATATCATTAACTGGTATGTGTTTAGGTGTGACTGCAAAGTTTAGACCTTTAGCTAAAACGGATTTCAGACCATCGGAAATAGAACTGTTACTGCGATTAATTACGACTTTATTAACGTCTAACTTTTTGGTGTGTGGGTCCGGTCTTTTGTTGTTTCTCTTCAACGTGACTTTACCGAAAAAACTAAGAATATATATTAATTGATTTTGAGACTTATGCTCATATCAGAGGTAATCTCGGTATTAGTAATTGTCTTTTTTTTGCCATTACATTCCAGGACAGTGAGAGATGGTGACAGTTTGGGGGGGAAGCCTTCAGTGGATAGATGGTAGCTGATGATGCTACTGCTGCTGCTGCGTGTTTCAGGCTCACACAGCTGTCGGAGGAAGTGGAGCAGCTCGGCAAGACAAAGGCTCAGCGCACGGAGCAAATCGCCGAGCTGGAGCATGAGATCAACAAGCTGCTGGGAGCAACGCAGCTCAACTACCGCACCGAGTGAGAGAGTAGACCTCCGACACCCCCCCCCCCCACCTCGTTATCCGATTGACTGGATAGATCATGGGTCGCCAAACCTGCGACTCCAGGAGCCGCATGCCGCTCTTTTGGCTTCCCCCTTGCGGCCCTTTGGCTGCCTCCTTCTGGGCAGCCATTTAAAAAAAATGTCTGAAATATAATTTAATGCAAAGATTATAATTGATTAAATATGGCAGGGAATGGGGTTACTATGGAATGTCTTGATGACAACAATAATGTACAACATTCAAACTGCATCTGTTAAAGAATAACTTGGGGGAATAAACTAAATGGACGCAGTTTATTCCATCACCTATTTGTTTATTTAAGTCGGAATGTGTGTTATTGTTGTCTGCTGTGTATACCTGCTATATCTGTGTTTGTGTATACAAGTAGCTCTGCGTGTGTTGCGGCTCTTAAACTATTTTGGTCAAAGACAAAAAACAAAAAAAAACAATAATTCTTCTTTGAAATGTTGCCAACCCCTGGAATAGATTGAGTCGTTTGTATCATGAGACCTCCCTTGTCAGTATCAAAATATCTGAATAGCTTTTACCCCTTCTGGCAATAAAACATGTTAAGATGTTAAAACAGATACATTTTACAATGAATCATGTATTTGTGGTTAATGCAGACATGATTTATTGCAAAAAGTTCCTGTTTGGTGTTTTAATATCTTAACACCTGTTTTATTGCCAGAAAAGGTAAAAGCTATGATATTTTGATACTGTCAAGGGACTTTATTTTTTATTTTTTCAGTTTATTTATTTTGGTATAGCCCTGTCAGCGATTCGGCTCTTGAATCGGGTGTAACCACAACAAACAAAAACACGAACAAGAAAAACATCTTAAAGTGACTGTGACTGTGCAAACAGAAAATCCATGGAAAAAAACAGCAAAATATTCCTGAAAAAAGCACCGTACACAAACGCTGTGTGCAAAATATCCCAGTGGGATGCAAGTCAAACAATAACAACCACAAGAAAACTTAGATTAAGGCCATCAGTCTAACTCTGTACTAGAACTAAATAAACATGTCCAAACCAAAAAACGTTTTCGAAATCACCAAAAAATAAAGCCATAATTGCAACGTAAGTGATCACAGGGACTGTGACCGAATTTTTACAATAAACTACATACAGTGAGGGAAAAAGTATTTGATCCCCTGCTGATTTTGTACGTTTGCCCACTGACAAAGACATTATCAGTCTATAATTTTAATGGTAGGTTTATTTGAACAGTGAGAGACAGAATAACAACAAAAAAATCCAGGAAAACGCATGTCAAAAATGTTATAAATTGATTTGCATTTTAATTTATGGAAATAAGTATTTGACCCCTCTGCAAAACATGACTTAGTACTTGGTGGCAAAACCCTTGTTGGCAATCACAGAGGTCAGACGTTTCTTGTAGTTGGCCACCAGGTTTGCACACATCTCAGGAGGGATTTTGTCCCACTCCTCTTTGCAGATCTTCTCCAAGTCATTAAGGTTTCGAGGCTGACTTTTGGCAACTCGAACCTTCAGCTCCCTCCAGAGATTTTCTATGGGATTAAGGTCTGGAGACTGGCTAGGCCACTCCAGGACCTTAATGTGCTTCTTCTTGAGCCACTCCTTTGTTGCCTTGGCCGTGTGTTTTGGGTCATTGTCATGCTGGAATACCCATCCACGACCCATTTTCAATGCCCTGGCTGAGGGAAGGAGGCTCACCCAAGATTTGACGGTACATGGCCCCGTCCATCGTCCCTTTGTTGCGGTGAAGTTGTCCTGTCCCTTTAGCAGAAAAACACCCCCAAAGCATAATGTTTCCGCCTCCATGTTTGACGGTGGGGGTGGTGTTCTTGGGGTCATAGGCAGCATTCCTCCTCCAAACACGGCGAGTTGAGTTGATGCCAAAGAGCTCCATTTTGGTCTCATCTGACTACAACACTTTCACCCAGTTGTCCTGAATCATTCAGATGTTCATTGGCAAATTTCAGACGGGCATGTATATGTGCTTTCTTGAGCAGGGGGATCTTGCGGGCGCTGCAGGATTTCAGTCCTTCACGGCGTAGTGTGTTACCAATTGTTTTCTTGGTGACTATGGTCCCAGCTGCCTTGAGATCATTGACAAGATCATCCCGTGTAGTTCTAGGCTGATTCCTCACCGTTCTCATGATCATTGCAACTCCACGAGGTGAGATCTTGCATGGAGCCCCAGGCCGAGGGAGATTGACAGTTCTTTTGTGTTTCTTCCATTTGCGAATAATCGCACCAACTGTTGTCACCTTCTCACCAAACTGCTTGGCAATGGAAGCCCATTCCAGCCTTGTGTAGGTCTACAATCTTGTCCCTGACATCCTTGGAGAGCTCTTTGGTCTTGGCGATGGTGGAGAGTTTGGAATCTGATTGATTGCTTCTGTGGACAGGTGCCTTTTATACAGGTGACAAGCTGAGATTAGGATCACTCCCTTTAAGAGTGTGCTCCTAATCTCCCTTTTAAGAGTGTGCTCCTATTCTCAGCTCGTTACCTGTATAAAAGACACCTGGGAGCCAGAAATTTTTCTAATTGAGACGGGGTCAAATACTTATTTCCCTCATTAAAATGCAAATCAATTTTTAACATTTTTGACATGCGTTTTTCTGGATTTTTTTGTTGTTATTCTGTCTCTCACTGTTCAAATAAACCTACCATTAAAATTATAGACTGATAATTTCTTTGTCAGTGGGCAAACGTACAAAATCAGCAGGGGATCAAATACGTTTTTTTCCCTCACTGTAAATAACATGTAACACCAAATCCTAGAGCCATAGCTGGCTGCATGAGTTACTCCACAATAACAGAAGCATCAGTCGGAGTATCAAATTTTTCAATGCACCTTTAAGATCAGCACTCTAAATCAAAATACAGATAATACTTTGCAGCGTCATCCGGAGCGAAACATTTTATTTTCGTTTACGCCAATGAATAGCAGTGGCAGCTAGGGGTGTACAACTCCTCTAGAGCAGTTTTGAGAGATGATATCATTGGTAGCGATTCAAGTTGCAGTTTATTGGAAATAGCATTCCAGACCCTGGGGGCATCAATAGCAAAGGCCCTTCCTCCAGTTTTTGTACGGCAATAGGGAATGTGAAGCTGGTAAATGAGCGAAGACCTGAGGTCAAATTTGTTCTTTGAAACAGAGAGGAGATCCAGCAGGTAGTCTGCAGATTTTTTTGTAAGTACATCGTGAATAAATAAGATCTGGTGCACAAGCCGTCGAACATTAAGAGATGTTATGTTTGACCCAATGTAGAGATCACAGTGGTGAGTCCTATATGGGCAGTTCAATGTAAATCAGGGGTCGGGAACCTATGGCTCGCGAGCCAGATGTGGCTCTTTTGATGATTGCATATGGCTCGCAGATAAAACAAAATATTCTCACTTGTTTTAATCCATCCATCGATTTTTCACTGCGCATGTCCTGTTCAGGGCTGCAGGAGCAATTGTCCATTATTTTAATTGGATGATACTGGCCTACGTTTGCCGTTGCTGGGTAAAACAGGTAAACGCCCCCTTTTGAATCAGTCTGAGACTGTGTCTGCTCGGTCATTAGCTCAAAGCTAACCCTTCGACGAAGAAGATGGCGAAAAGAAAAAAAGACGACGAGTATCGTACATTTCAGGACGAATGGACCGAAGAATTCGCCTTTGTGGAGAGAGCGGGTTCTGCGGTGTGTCTAATTTGCAATGACAAAATTACATCGTTGAAACGGTCGAATGTAAAGCGGCACTTCGACACGCGCCACGCTACCTTTGCATCAAAATACCCTGCGGGAGACAGCAGAAAGAAAGCGTGCCAAGAGCTTCTGAGCAGGGTGCAAGCTAGCCAGCAGCAACTCCGCGTATGGACCCGGCAAGGTGACTATAATTCGGCTAGCTTTTCTGGTTCTTTAGCAATAGTGAGGAACGGAAAACCATTCACAGATGGCGAGTATGCTAAAACGTTCATGCTGGATGTAGCCAATGAACTTTTTGATGATCTTCCGAACAATGACAAGATAATCAAACGGATACAAGACATGCCTCTGTTGGCAAGAACTGTTCATGATCGTACCATCGTGATGGCAAACAAAGTGGAGGAAACGCAAGTGAAGGACATAAATGCAGCGCCGTTCTTTTCTCTGGCTTTGGATGAGTCAACAGACGTGAGCCATTTGTCGCAGTTCAGCGTGATTGCAAGATATGCTGTTGGTGACACACTGCGCGAAGAAAGTCTTGCTGTTCTGCCATTAAAAGGGTCCACAAGAGGTGAGGATTTATTCAAGTCTTTCATGGAGTTTGCTCAAGAAAAAAGTCTACCTATGGATAAACTTCTCTCAGTGTGTACTGATGGTGCTCCGTGTATGGTGGGGAAAAACAAAGGATTTGTGGCGCTTCTCCGTGAACATGAAAATAGACCCATCCTAAGTTTCCATTCCATTATACACCAGGAGGCACTTTGTGCTCAGATGTGTGACAGGCAGTTTGGCGAAGTGATGTCGCTGGTCATTCGTGTGATCAACTTTATTGTTGCCCGAGCCTTAAATGATCGCCAGTTTAAAACACTGCTGGATGAAGTTGTAAATAACTATCCTGGTCTGCTTTTGCACAGCAATGTGCGTTGGTTGTCAAGAGGGAAGGTGCTTAGCCGTTTTGCGGCTTGCCTGAACGAAATCCGGACTTTCCTTGAAATGAAAGGCATCGGGCATCCTGAGCTAGCCGACACCGAGTGGCTCCTCAAGTTTTACTATCTCCTCGTAGATCTGACTGAACATCTGAACCAGCTCAACGTGAAAATGCAAGGCATTGGAAATACAGTGTTATCCCTTCAACAAGCTGTATTTGCTTTTGAAAACAAGCTGGAGCTTTTCATCACGGATCTTGAAACAGGTCGTTTACTACATTTTGAAAAACTGAGCCAATTTAAAGATGCATGCACAGCAAGTGAGCCCATTCAAAACCTTGATCTCCACCAGCTAGCTGGCTGCACATCCAGTCTCCTACAGTCCTTCAAAGCACGCTTTGGAGAATTTCGTGAGCACACTCGTCTTTTTAAGTTCATCACCCATCCAAACGAGTGTTCACTGAACACAGCCGACCTGAATTACATCCCTGGTGTCTCCGTCAGAGATTTTGAAGCAGAAGTGGCTGACCTGAAGGCCTCAGACATGTGGGTGAATAAGTTCAAGTCACTGAATGAAGATTTGGAAAGAATCACACGACAGAAAGCGGAGTTGGCGAGCAAGCACATGTGGACAGAAATGAAAAAACTCCAACCCGAAGACCAGCTGATTCTCAAAACTTGGAACGCGCTTCCTGTCACATACCACACACTGCAGCGTGTGAGTATTGCTGTATTGACCATGTTTGGATCTACGTATGCATGTGAGCAGTCATTCTCACATCTTAAAAACATCAAGTCCAACCTACGATCACGTTTAACGGATGAAAGCCTCAACGCTTGCTTGAAGCTTAACCTCACCAAGTACCAACCCGACTACAAAGACATCAGCAAATCCATGCAGCACCAGAAGTCGCATTAATGGTGAGTGTTATAACAACATTATTTAAAAGAATAAATTCAGAGGCTTACTATACTGACATTTAGTTGAATTCACTTTTAAAATATATTATATGGCTCTCACTGAAATAAATTTCCAAATTTTTTGCTTTCATGGCTCTCTTAGTCAAAAAGGTTCCCGACCCCTGATGTAAATCTTAAGGCCGAGTGATAGATGGAATCACGCTTCCTCAGTACAGTACTTGGGGCTGAATTATACATGATGTCACAGTAGTCAAGTAGAGGCAGTATGGTAGCTTTTATCAATTCCAAACGGAACATTGGGGGGAAGCAGTGTTTGTGTTGATACAGAAAACCAATTTTTATTTTTGTCTCTTTACCAATGTAATCAGTGTGATCTTAAAAATTCTGTTTTGAATCCAGGATGACCCCAAGATACTTATAGATCTTGACTTGCTCTATTTGATAATTATTTATGGAATGTAATTGGGGAAAAATGACTTCCTGCTTTACTCCTGGTGAGAAGCATAGCACCTTGGTTTTGGAGGTATTCAGGACTAGTTTAAGAGCAACTAGCTGATGTTGTAGTTTGTTGAAATCACCCTGTAGCTTAGCAATCACATCATCCGGAGAGCGGCCAGCAGTAATCAGTATCGTGTCATCTGCAAAAATATTTACCCTGGAATGATCCAGGTCAGTGCCCAAGTCATTGACATAAAGAGAGAACAAAAGGGGGCCGAGGCTGGAACCCTGTGGAACCCCTTTTGTTATCTTAACACTGTTTGACCTCCAACCATCTGTGAATAGAGTTTGGGTGCGAGAAAAGAGGTAACTTTGTAACCATTTTACTGTGTTTTCATAAAAACCGAGGCAACTTAGTTTACTAAGCAGGGTGTTGTGGTCTACTGTATCAAAAGCTTTGGACAGGTCTAGAAAAAGACAGGCACAGTACTGCTTATTATCAAGGCTACTGTAAATGTTATTCAGAGATTCTAATGCAGCGGATGTGGTGCTGTATTTTTTTCTGAACCCAGATTGTTTTAGATGTAGTAGATTGTTGGTGGACAGGAAACTGCTAATTTGGTAGGTCAATAATTTTTCAAAAATTTTCATCAACGGGGACAAAATTGAGAAAGGTCGGTAGTTATTTGGATCATCTTTAGGGCCCCCTTTGTGAAGTGGATGGACATAGGAATATTTCCATTCTAGAGGAACTGATGCTTCTTTGATGGACAGGTTGAAAATATGGGCTATAGGTTTGTATATTAGGTGACCAACAGTTAGTAGAGCAAAGACGGGAATACTATCTGCTCCGGTAGAGGAGGACCCTTTGAGGTAGAACAGTTGTTTGAGAACATTACTTTCGTGGATTGGCTGGAAACTAAATTCGTTTAATGTTTGGACAGGAGTGTAGGAATTTGCATGAGCAGGGGTGACTCCCAATACATTATCAAAAAGATTACCAGCTTCAGAAAAATGAAGGTTAAAATTGTCAACTATTTTTTTGGGATCTGAAAAATATTCCCCATTTTGGTTAAGCTCAACGGGCAGATTGTCTGTTTTGGATGCCTTTTAGATACATTTGATTTCCAGAAAATCCTGGCATTTCCATGTGATTCCAGGAGAGTGGAGGAAAAGTAGGAATTTTTGCATGCCGTATTTTTTTGACCCATCTATTCCTTAAAATCCTGTATTCTAGCCAGTCATTCACCAAATTACTTTTCTGAGCACATGCCCAAGCCCTGTTCCTAGTTTTCATGAGCTTTGTAATCAAAGGATCAAACCATGGTGGGCGGTTGCCTTTAGTTTTAAATCTAACCAATGGAGCACGTTTGTTAAGAATTTGGAGAAACGTGTACCTGAAGGTCTCCCAAGCCGTAGTCAGGTTGGGGATATCACAGACCTTGTCAATATCCGAGTGAAGCACATCATTAGTAAATGCCTGAGTGCTGAAGTGTCTCAGAGTGCTTCTCAACCAATTTAGGGGGGCTTTGGGTCTGGCTGATGATCTCACCCCAAAAATAAAGGAGTGATCACTAAGGTTATTACCCAGAACACCAGTCGGTGTGAAATTGTGAGGGGCAGGTCTCATGATACAAACACAAGATCCAGGTCTGTTTCAGTACAGTACACAAAATCTGTGATTTAATCCCATCTGTGAAGGATGTCATTCCTGACATGCAATATCCTGGAGTCTACAAACTAAGTTGCACATGTGGTGGGTGTTACATTGGGGAAACGAAATGACATATCTCGGACCGTGTTCGCGAGCACAGGTCGGATCTAAAACACGACAGAACTAATACCTCCGCCATGACTGACCATTGCTATAATGCTGAGGGCTCTCATGATATTGTTTTTTTCCGAGACCAAGGTACTCTGCAAACCTTCGGGCTACTATCAAAGGTTTGTTCATGAAGCCATCCAGATATATAAACATAGACATACCTTCAACCGGGAATATGGATACAAATTGAGCAATCATTGGAAGGATGTTATTAACCAGGTAAAACCTTAACTGCTGTATGGTTTGCCTTCATATCCATATCTCCAGTTTCTTCAGCCTCCCACTCCCAGCCCCGCTCACTCCCCCTCCCCACTCCGGCATTTAGCCGTGTATGTGTCTTAGCTTCAGCACTCCACTCCCCCTACCCCACACCCCCACCCTCTCTATCTCTCCTCCCTGGCTCCTCCCCCCTTTTCTTACCTATATGGCCTCTTGTTACAGCAGCCCTTTTGCCCACTTCAGCAATAGTCTTTTTTGCTGTGGTTGTCCCACCTGATGACAGACGCTTGTATTGCGCCTGAAACGTCGTGATTTAATTTATTTTATTTTTTATACCTACGTGACTTTACCGAAAGAACCAAAGAGTATGAGTAGGGTAAAACATATCCTTATACGAGTCGTTTGTGCCTACCACCAAATGTGTAAGTGGGCAAAACACGTCATATGGCTTAAAGGGGAAAGGGCCGTTGGTTAAAAATAACGGAGCAGCAGCAGCCAGGGAATGTAGTGTGTCCGAGAAAAGGTGCCCAGAGATGTTTACTACCTCACCCGGCATACAGGAGGTCGTGGGTTCGATCCTGGCACATGACGCCTGTATATTTGGAGTTTGCATGTTCCCCCCATGGTTGTGTGGATTTTTCTCCAGGTCCTCCGGTTTTTCCCCTCCACATTTAGAAGCATGCCTTTAGAGTATTTGGCTGCTATAAATTTCGACATGATAATAAGCCACTTCATTGAGCTATCATTTGTGATAGCCAGGTCACTTCAGAAAAAGCTATTTAGCTCACTGGGTCTTACCTGGTAAAATAAAAGAAATATAGTTTTAAATATAGTAAAAAGGCATTATTGATTTGACGCTGGAATCTCACCAACTGGCTCACGGACATGCGTGGACGCGCGCTGCCTTCTGTGCCACCCCACCGCAGTGTGCGGCTGCTGTGCAAGAAAGCAGCGCTACAGGAATGCCGCCAGGGCGTGCTGCAGTTGGAGGGCGAGGAGGCGCGCGTGCTGGGCCAGCGCGACGCCATCCAGGACAAGCTGGAGTGGCTGGGCGATGCCGAGCCGCCCCCCGTCATAGGCCTGTCGTGCCAGGAAGACGCGGGCAGGGCAGGAACGCTCCCATCGCCGTCGCACTCTCAGAACTCGCTGCACGTGGTCAGTGCCGTGTTGGGTGGGTTTGTCGTGGGTTGTAGCCGGGGGTTGCTTCCCCAGTGTGTGTTTGTTGGGTTGGACCACCGTGCGTTCGGCTCGGTATCCCAACGTTTTTGGCGTTCATGGCACTACTCGTTATACATACAAGACAACCTTCGGTTTTCCAAAATTTCGCATTTACGCAATTGACAAATTTCACTCCGGCACACGGCACAAGATCATCAAACAAGAACCCATCCTCGACAACATCACAGTATCCCTACAGTGCAACAGTATGCCTCCACATCACCTTGGCAGTCATTCTAACATGTAGCAGATCTTTTGGTGAGTTCCCTGAAAAGGTTATTTTTGGGAAATTATTATTCAATTGTTTTAATATTTACGTTCTTTATTATTATTATTTTTATACTGTGAAAAGTGATATAGGTGTATACTTTTATGTTAAATGAATAGGAAAAGCCATTCTGATCTACGACATTTCATACTCTTTGGTTCTTTCGGTAAAATCACATAGGAATAAAAGAAATCACGACGTTTCGGGCGCAACACAAGTATCCGTCATCGGGTGGGAAAGCATGGTCTGCTGCTGAGGCAGACTGTTTTAAAAGGTTTTAAATGGGTGTAGCCCAAGGATCATAAAGAAGTGGGCGGGGCTAGTGATGTTAATGTAATAAATTAGCATGTTACTGTAAGATAGGAGAGCGGCCTACTGGACGAGGGCACGGAAGTGGCTCTGTTAAGGTAACCGAACTGTTGCTCCACGTGCTGGCACATTTGGCTATTTGCGGCATCGTTGTGGCACAGTGCTAACACAAAGGCGCCTGTAATCGTTGATAATTGCTCTGTTCTTCCAATAACATTACAAGAGCCTTAACTTCCGATGTGAAGCGGGACGGTCCGTACTGGTTAACACACTCGCAGCATTAACTGGGGTCGGCCGTTCGAGCTTGAACCCGTGAACCTTGGCCATGCCACCCACCCCCCCGTACGGCCGCTCTTGACTGAACATGGCGATCCGGTGGCCATGCAGTGAGCACGCGTGGGCATGTGCTGTACGGCTGAGCATGAACGTCACGGTGGCTCGCGCGTAGGGTGTCCCAAGCATCGTGCCTTTAGCGTCACTGCAGCTGTGCTTTTACCCATGCTGCTGCTATTATTGTTGTTGTTGGTTGTGGTGTCGGTTTAGGATGGGATGAAGGCGATGACCCTGGATCTCAAGCAGTCCATCACGGGGATATTTAAGTTCTCAAAGCCAACGGTACAGGTGTACACTATGCACAAAAGACATGAAAAATCGCTCTATAGCCTTTACCAGACTGTTGAGGCAAGTGCAGTTAGTAAGCAGCGATAAAGGTCGGCACGGTACATAAGTGAGTGGGTGACCAACCCCAATGCCTGTCTACTTTTGTCTCTCCACAGTACTCAATGTTTATACACTGCACCAGCAGCTCATTTAAGGCTAAGTCGACCTAGATGAGGCCAAGGACCGGTTCATATATGTGTCACCGATGTTGGCCATGAGTGGGTATTAAATGCCGTTTGCCAGAGTTAAATTCACGGTCACCATTCCACACATTCACTTACACAAGCGTGCGCAATCATACACACACAAGACAACGATCCCACATATAGTCATAAAAGACTTTTGGAGCAAGTGCTGTTTGCGAGCACCTATGACTGGCGGAACGATACGCATGGGGGTGGGTGGCCAGAACCACGCCCGACAGCCTTTGTCTCCCTAGTGGTAATGTTTAGAAACTGCACCAGGTACTTATTTGAGGCTGAGTGGAGCGAGGGAATGCCCAGGACCAGTTCATATATTCGTCACCGATGTGGGCCATGAGCAGGAATCAAACTCAGGTCGCCGGGTTCGAAGCACAGCACGCTCACCGCGATGCTACCGCTCCCAAAATACATGCACATACGCCCGCTCACACAACAACAACCGCCATTTGCCACTAAGTGGCGGTGACGTCACCACGACGCTTGTGCCAGGCCATGTGCACCTTGAGGCCACGTGAAGTGTCGAACACCCGCTGGCAGGAGGTCACGGGGCAGACCCAAGTGAAGTGCCACGGGTCGACTGACTAAGATGACTGAGATGACTGGCTGATGCACCACCTGTGCCCCCTTCTGTGCCAACCTGCTGTGCTTTAGCCAACCGGCGCTCCGCTCGTTGTTGTGAGCGTCGCTCCTCCTCCCTCCATTGTTGGAGGGCGACTGCCTCCAACTGCCCAGTACCGTCCTTCACGAGCCTCCTCCACAGAAGCCAATCTTGACACCGCTGGTACCAGTCATCGACAAGTCCACTTAGCTCCACGTCCTCCTGTACCACATCACTCCATCTCTTCTCTAGCCCGTGCCGCGCCCGTTTAGCCCCCTCGATCCGGCTGAACAAAAGCTGTCTCGGCATGCGGTGGCTGGGCATGCGGGCTACTTGACCCAGCCAACGCAGCCTTGCCTGCCGGAGGAGCTCACCGATGGGACTTTGCCCAGATCTTTCAAGGATTTGTGAGCTCCTCACACAATGCAGCCTGCTTAAACCCAGGATGGAGCGTAGGCAGGCTAGCCTAAATGTTTCTAACCGGCGAAGATGTTCCATTAGGGGGGTCCACGTTTCGCAAGCGTAGAGAAGGGAGGGAATGACCGTGGCCGAGAAGACCTTAAGCTTAGTGCGGAGCGACAGACCAGGTAGCTTCCCTATTGCTCAACCATAACGTGGTTGAGCAATAGGGAGCCATCCCTTGACCGCACCCGGGCATCGATCAGCCTCCCATTATATCTGTGCCAAATGGAGATTCCCCTGGTACAGCTATTGAAGGCTTCACAAACTACGTGGTCAAAATAGATGTGAAATAATGTGGGAGCCAGAGAACATCCCTGTCGCACCCCAAGGTGTACAGGGAATGGCTCTGACTCCTGGCCATGTAGTTTTACCCGGGCCCGCTCACCATCATGAAGGTCCTTAATGATCATGAGCAGAGGGTCAGGGACTCCAAAAGAACGAAGAACAACCCAGAGCCCAGGCCTACTGATGGTATAATAAGCCTTGACCAGGTCAATAAAGCAGAGATGTAGGTCTTGGTGGAATTCCCTACACCTCTGCTGTAGCAGACGGACAGAAAATATGGCATCTGTGCAGGACCACCTTTTCTTGAAACCGCATTGGGGCTCCGCACGCCTCTCCTCAGCGTGCCTGGCAAGGCAATGTTGAATAATCCTTTCCAGGACCTTTCCCGGAACACTAAGGAGTGAGATGCCCCTGTAGTTGTTACAGTCTGTGCGGTCCCCCTTCTTAAAGAGGGGGACCACCAGGGCATCCTTCCAATCCTGCAGAACCTGTCCAGTGGTCCAGACTGTTGTTATGATGTCATATAGGGCAGTCTGTGCACAAACGCCACCCTCCCTCAGCATTTTGCTTGGGAGAACTTCTCTGCCCGGTGCCTTTCCTGGTCTCAGACTCCGGATCGCCTTCAGTACTTCCTCAACAGATGGCACCTCAGCCAGCCACTCACAGGGGGTGACTTCCGATATTTGAGGCACCGCAGCCTCAGCAGGGTCATCCCCACTTTGTGCCACGATGTTTTCCTGGCTAAGGGATTTCCCCTCCCCCAGGACCTCACAGAAATGCTCAGCAAATCTGCAAACCTGTTCCTGGGGGTCAGAGATTGGATCACTGTTTTTTCCCCTAATGATGGTAATAGGTGTGGCGCTGCAGGTTACTTTTTTGATGGAGTTAAATAGAGATTTGTGATCGCGGGCCACTGAGGCAGACTCCATTTCCTCAGCAACCCGCAACCACCACCCATCCTTGCAGCGCCTCACGGCTCTCCGAACCTCCGAGCGAAGGCTGCAGTAAGCCTCCTCATTCTCTGACGTGGGATTCTGTAGCCGATGACAGTGGGCCTGTCGCTTTTTCTCAACTATCCTGAACACCTCTGTCAGCCAGGGTCTCTGGGGAAGTCTGGACCGCGTACCCAAAGCAGCCATTGCAGCTGCATGAGTCACAGTCCTAAACCTCGCCCATTTACCCTCGACATCAGGAGGAGTGGGGGACGATGCCAACCCCAGCCGCAAGCGATGATGAAATTCTCGCTTGCAACTTTCATCAGATAACTGAGACCAGGCCACTTTAGGTTGGAATGGGGTCCTGGGTGTACACCCATCACCGGAGTGGAAGAATGGCAGGCGCATCTTACAGATGAAAAGTCGATGGTCAGAGGGCAGATCAGCTCCACGGTAGGTCCTGGTGTCAAGGACATGGGCTCGCATCCGCTGGTCCGTCACTATGTAGTCCAGCAGATGTTCTTGCTTGGACCCGGCATGCATCCATGATGTTGTGTGGATGCGCCGATGCCTGAACAGCGTGTTAGTAATTACAAGCCCATGGGCTGCACAAAAATCTAGCAGCCTCCTACCGTTGTTATTGAGCTGATCTGGCCCATGCCCTCCAATCACTCCAGACCAGGTGCCAGCATCATGACCAACTCGGGCATTGAAGTCACCCAACAAGATGACTATCCCGAGGGGCCACTTTAGCCAGCACCTGTGACAGGAGTTCATAGAAGGCATCTTACTCATCGGCTTTGCCTCCATCCCTCCACGGATGTTCATCTTCGGTAGGGGCATAAGTAACCACGACCACCACTCCTCGCCTCCGGTTGATGGGAAGGCGAGCCCAAAGTAGCCTGGGGCTTACAGCTTCCCACACCTCACCGCCACACTCCCACGCCCCCTTCATTATTTTGTTCAAAAGAAGAGCCACACCCTGTTGTTTGGCAGTCTGCTGCCCCGAGTAGAGGACTGTCCACCCCTCATGGTGGCAGGAGTCAGAACCGGTCCACCGGACCTCCAGAATGCCACAGAGATCCAGGCAGTACCGGTCCAGCTCCATACAGAAGAGTGGCAGCCTCTCCTCCGCAGTAAGCGTTCGAACATTCCACATGGCCACACGAAGTGGCTTTTCGTTGTTTCTGGAGGAGCCCTGAGGGTAGAGATTCAATTTCCTGGCTCCACCAATTGGGGTTTGGCCAGGAGACGTCATAGACGCCTGTCCCCCCCGGGGCCTCCGGCACAAGATTATTAGTTACATTTTGAATTTGTGGTTTCGTGGTAAATTTTTGAAGGTGGAGGGGTTACCAGCCCCTCGCACCCATCCAGAGCCCCCGTTTAGCCCCTGTGGTGGTCACAGACGCCATGAGGGGAGGGGGCAATCGGAATTGGCCCTCCCCCCACAGCACTGTCCACGACAGAGTTGCCCGTCTGGCACCGCGAGGAGGTAGGGGGTTGTTTTGCCGGACCCCGCTCACACACCCACACACATACGTACATTTACACGTACACACATGTATACACATACACACAATTATACAGACGCGTGCACTGACATGTTGATGTTATTAATGTTAAAGATATTTACGTACGTAAATGTTGATGAAGTAAGCGTTGTTATTAATTAACTATGTTCTTTGGGTCTTTAAGTAAAGCCACGTAGATAGAAAAAAATAACAAAAATCTAAATCACGACGTTTCGACCACAACACAAGCAATTGTCTTCAGGTGAAAAAGAGGGAAATCTGCTGAGACAGGTTGTTTATAAAGGTTTAGAGATGGCCGGGGCAGCTAATGTTAATGTAGAAGCGAGTAGGAGAGAGAAAATTGCTTGTAAATGTATGCTCGGCGAGGGCCAAGCTCGGCTAGGGCCTGAAAATTTGCATGTAAATGTAAGCTCGGCGGGGACCAAGCTCGGATAGGGCCTGAAAATTTGCCTGTAAATGTAAGCTCGGCGGGGGCCAAGCTCGGCTCGGGCCCGGACGACGCAGTGGCAAGCCGCGATTTACTAACACACCTAAAGATTGGCTGTGTTAGTGAATGTAACTCGGAGTCCAAAATAACTGCTAACAGGTAGGTAGGATAGGAACATCACAGCCAGTTATGACCTTAACCGGTGAATAACGTCCTTCTAATGATTGCTCAGTTTGTACCCATCTTCTCGGTTGAAATTGTGTCTGTGTTTATATATCTTGTTGGCTTCATGAATGAATCTTTGCTGATAGCCAGTGGGTTTGCAGAGTACCTTTGTCTTGGCAAATATGAATTATTGCAGTCACAAAAGCTTTAAGTCAAGGTTTAACTAACTATAGTTTGTGTTATTAATTATGTTATCTATTATCGGTTACGATCGACTTATGCATGACCCAGACCACGTGTAAGATATCTGGTTATTTTCAGAATTTTTAATTCGACTGGATAAATCTGATGAGCTATGAAGCTCTTTTTTTCACAGATGGCCAGTAGGGGTGGGTCGGCAAGTTACAGCAACAACAAACAATACAAAAAAACAATCAGAGTGCAAAATAGAGAAAAGGCAAGAAATTCACGAAAATTATATAAATAAATATAAAATATATAAATACAAATGATATAAATTTCGATTTAAAGCTTTCGTGACTGCAGGGATTAATCTTCTGGGTTCTTTCGATAAAGTCACGTAGAATGGGAATGAAATAATATTCTGTTATTATTTTAATTATTTCATTCCCATTCTACGTGACTTTACCGAAAGAACCCAGAAGACAAATGATATAAGTACATCAAGTCAAGCCAAATTTTTTGACACTAAATGCAAGCTCGGGCTGGGCAGCAAAACTTTACTTCGCCAAATGCTGTTATTTACCCGGAGCTACAGGGAAACCTGGTCATAAACTGAACGCGTGGAATTCTTTTGATATGGTAATACACTCTTCATCACCCTGGCCAAAGGGATTTAAAGCTCTCGCAACGAAACAAACTGGCGAATTCTCGAGTGGTGTCTGTGGCTGTGCTTTGTTCTGCAATGCCTCAATTGATGGCCGCTTCTCTTATTATCTCCTCCTCCTCCCTGCAGCCGTCGCCCACAAACAAGGTGACCGATGACTGTTTCGTTTGTAATTCGCTCGTCACGGCACTCCATTAAAAGTCTCTATCGCATCTCTGAACGTGATTCTTGTTGTGATGAGTATGTCACGCAACTTTAATTGGAACCAAGTAAGGCAGTGGTTGGCGCGCGGCTCTGTGAACGTGTCGCCCCATAGTTCTATGATTCCCGGCCACGGCTAACATCAGTGGCGAGTGATATCTGAACAGGTTCTGGGTCCCCCCCCATCTCCCACTCCCCTTCAGTCCATATTGACGTAACAAATGTGTGTTCAGATAACCCTTACGACCGATATGGCGTGGGTCAGGCCTTCATCCAGCAGTGGAGTGAACAAGATGGAATGAAATTGAGCATGAGAGGAGTAGGAATTTAAAGGGGGGAAGGATATTAAATAGGGTGCCATGGTCAGGAAATGTTAACTACCTTGCCTGGTATGCAAAAGGTCGTGGGTTCGATCCTGACCCTGACGCCTGTGTATTTGAGGTTTGCAAGTCTCTTTGTATGGTAGCGTGGACATTTCTCCAGGTCCTCGGGTTCATCCATCCACATTTAGAATCAACATCGCGCATTTAGATTGTTTGGCTGCAATACATTTCCACGTGATGATAAGCCACTTCGTTGAGCTATCATTTGTGATGACCCCGTTACTTTTGAAAAAGAGCGATATAGCAGCTCAGTAGGCCTTACCTGGTAAAATAAAAACAGGTTTTAGTCTTAGGATGGGAAGATGAGGAGGGGAATAAAGGGAGGAGGAAGGGGAGGAGGTAATGGGTGAGGAGATGGAGAAGGACGATTGCCAAGTGCTACCCCTCACTCGGTGGTGCATGGGGTTGCCCTCATCTAGCAGTGGATTGACAGTCGGAGGAGGGACAAGAATGGGGAGGAGGGAGCGGGTGGAGGAGGACCTGCAATGCAGAGGCCGACGGCTTCAACTCCCGGCACAGCAATTGATCTGTTATTATTTTTCTATGTGACTTTACTGAAATAACCAAAGAGTATAGCAGTTGAAACGTTTGTGCACGTTTCTTACATCCTCCGGCCTCTGTCCCACCCGGGCAGTGGTTAATGGGTCTTATGTCTTATGATTGGGCAGGTCATGTACGGTAGAGTAAAGCGTGGGTACTCCCACCTTTAACTGGTATGGAGGGAAGGCCGAAAAACCAGCGGTGGCACAAGCCAATGAGCGAGCGAGTTGATTGCAGTGGGCTGTGCCTGTAACCCCGCAGGCGGTGCCGACGCGCCCGCTGGATGCGCAGGAGTGGTTCCACGGTGCCATCCCGCGGCAGGAGGCCCAGCGGCTGGTGAGCTCCGAGGGGGACTTCCTGGTGCGCGAGAGCCACGGAAAGCCGGGCGAGTACGTGCTCTCCGCCATGACGGGGGGCCAGTGCCGCCACTTCATCATACAGAATACCGACGTGAGTTTGGGGGCGGGGGCGCGTGGGCTTTGGAGCCGAGAGCAATGTTGACCGCTGCTGGCTAAAACATCCCAATGCCTCAGGATTGCACGCAAGCACCATCCCACCCCCCCGGCTTACTGTGAAAACTTGGCAGGACCCTCCTGAAAGAGAGATTCTTGAGACTTGGTGATACGTTCCTGCTTAAACCAGTGTAATATTTTTTTTTCGTTTTACGAGGTAATGTCCACTGAACTATATAGCTCTGATATATAATAATAACAGCACCAGTGAATATTGGTGACTGATGAGTCCTAATAAGGATGACAGCAGTCCACATTTGGTTATCTCTGCATCACTGCTGCTGTCAGTCGGTCGCTTTTACTCAAATTTAGTTTCATGGTGACCTCAGACAAGGACCACAATGCACTTCTTCATGAACTGCTGATGATTTTTGCACAATGCACAAAGTCCTTGAGCATTATACACCTTTGTCCATCCTGTTGGAGACGCGTAGTTGTTCAAACTGCACTCCTATTCTGTTATGATGAGCTTTTCTCGCCATTTACAAATTGGAAGAGGATATTACTGTGACCTCTGTTCCACACACATTAGCAATTTCCCATCCGCCTTGCCACCGAGAGTCAAACGGATATTAAAAATTCTGAAATGTCAATTTAAATGCAAAAACAAATTTTATGTGATGGGTTTTTTTTCTTCTAGTCATTGGTGACTGGGCTGAGACCATCAACCTACTACACTTTAAATCACATTTGGTAGGAACCCGGACTCAAACCCAGCGGTACCGGCTCGGCATCTCTGACCTCTGAGCCACCGGACCACCTCTTAGAACAACGTCCATTTCCCTAGACGCACGTCCATTCCTGAGCGATCAATTTCACATCCAAATTGCTCTCGGAAGTCACGTAGCCTACTCGTCCCCCCAAATTACTTTGCCCGCATCTGAGCGAGCAGTCGCACAATAAAGGCCGTAGGTAGACTCCCTTTACAGCAGAACACCCCCTTGTCCCCAGCCCTATTGCTGGTTAACTCTAAGCCCTACCCACGTCAGGATCGTAACTACCAATTGCGAGTTCACAGATGTGTCACGCAACGATGAGTCACACGTCGCTAGAAATTCGCCGAGCGGGTTGTCGCTTGAGTCCATCTTCTACTGTGGACAACGGGGTTTGTGTCCACGTGCGACCAATTCGGTTTGCCCAATGGCTTCCTTTTGCACGCGTGCTTGTGGCGTTGTCTCGGTGCAGAACTTGTTCAAGTTTGAGGGCGAGGGCTATTCATCCATCGTGCAGCTCATCGAGCACCACGTCTCCTCAAAGCAGGTGGTCACAAAGAAGTCCCGTGTCGTGCTTGTGCGGCCCATCGGCAAGGTACGGCAAAGCGTCATCATCGTCATTGTCATTATAAAAACATTACTCTGGTTGTCTTCTTCGTTGTCACCATCATTATCCTGATCACCAGCATCATCGTTATCTCCATTGTCATCCATAAGAGGTTTTTGGGTTAGATCGCATAAATATATAAATGTGTCATTAAAACCCGCCACCACCCGACACAGCCAACTAGTAAGGGTTGTCACGTAAACAGAACATGACAATTCGTCACTAGAACAGCACATCGGTGTGTTGGAGAGCCAAGCCACAACATTTACAAACTGAGTACGACGTTTTGCCAGTAATTACAACTAGCTTCATCAGGCGACAGCTAGATTTGTGGAGAAGTCTTACTGTTTCATTCCTTATATGGAGGCGTAGATGTGTTGAACACCGTTCTGTGCTCTTGCACAATGTGGGGGGGAGGGGGGGTTACTGAGGAAACGTACATTATGCATGTGCATTATGCGAGCCGTTAGAACTTGTCCTTCCTGTTTATTGTGTTTATTAAAATAGCCCTACCAATGGTAATCCCGATTGAAGTACGCTGCCCTTTGTAGGCATGCATTTAAATAATATATTATTTGATGATTCGCTTCCACGCAGCACTAAGACGGTAGCTATCCAAACAGTTAAAGTTATTTTGCTTTCTTTCAATTTCGATAGATTCTCTAATTAGTCTTGGCCAGTAGTAGCTAGTTTTGCACAAAACTTCAACATTATCAAAATCAATTGGGTGTCCTTGTTGGCACGCGTGTTCTGCTACTGCTGACAGTTGTATTTGGGAGAATTTTATATTTCTATAATGTTCTTTTAGTCTCGTGCTGATCATTCGTCCTGTTTGCCCAATATAACATTTACCACACGTGCAGTTAATCCTGTACACACCTTCTGTTGATAGCTTCGGTAATACATCTTTTGTACAAGATATTAAATTCTGTATTTTATGTACCGTGCCAAATCTGACTCGGATGTTTTGTTTTTCCAAACATCTGGCTAGTTTATCAGTTACTCCCGCAATGTACAGTATTTTGATCGTTTTAATTACTTGGGCAGTTTCTATGCTCTTCTTTGGTTATTTCGGTAAAGTCACATAGAATGAGAATAAAATAATAAATTGATCAAATAAAATAACACAATAATATTCTCACGACGTTTCGGCCACAACACAAGCGGCCTTCATCAGGTGAAGGGACGAGACTGTCTGGAGGACAGCGCTGGAGTGAAAAAGCCACGCTCAGATCGCGACCTTTAAGCTGTGTGAGAAGAAACAAAGCGCCTTGACAAAGGAATTAGCATAGCATTTAGCATTGAAATGGCTGAGTGATTAGCTTGTGACTGGTCACAGAAATGGCTGTTAAAGTTAAAGCATACACATCCGCAGAGGCACCCCTTGACAAAGGAATTAGCATAGAATTTAGCATTGTAACTGGTCACAGAAATAGCTATGTTAAAGTCAGAGCATACACATTCACAGAGGCACCTAGTACTCTTGTTATTTGATTTATTTTCTCAAAAGCACGTGGTTTGGTATTCAATTCCCTGTAGATTTGTGCATCATTGTAACCGTTCATTTGCAGCGCTTCTTTAACATGTTGAATTTCACTTCTCAGACTGTCACCATTTGACACTTTCTTAGCTCGATGAATGCGCGTCTTGATAAGAGCAGATTTCTGTGCGGGGTGAATGTGTGACTCTGCATTCAGGTTCGGCAGCAGTATGCGTTTTCTTTCGGTAAACACTGTATTTTTACCATTTCTGGTTTGATCAGGTATTGCTCTTTCTTGGGAATTGATCGACTGTTGTGATGCCCCTTGAGGACTATGATAAGAAAATCAAAGATTTACTCGATGAAGACCCAACCAGCACCTTCGAACGTAAAACAACGGCAATCATTGCCAAGTCAGCAATTCCCAAAGAAAAGCAATATCTGATCAAACGAAGAACATCAAAACCACCAAGACTTTATGGGCTACCATAAATTCACAAACCTGATGTTCCATTAAGACCCATAGTACAATAGGTTCTGCAACATACAAATTAGCACAATACGTAACGAAACAAATACAGCTCTACATCGGTAGGACCTCTTCGTTCATCAAAAACTCTGAACATTTCGTAAATATAATTAAAGATATTAAGCTTAATCCTAATGATACTCTCATAAGTTTTGATGTGACCTCTCTGTTCGAGGGTTCCGGTCAACGAGTCAATTAAATTACTCGACACTCTGGTAACGAACAAAGTTTTAGGCAAAGACATCCCAAGACTAGCTGAACACTGTCTAAAGAACACTTAATTCTTGTGGCAAGGTGACTTCTATAAACAAAGGGAAGGCTCAGCAATGGGCTCTCCTTTGTCTCCTGTGATAGCAAATTTGTACATGGAAGATTTTGAAACAAAAGCAATAGCTTCAAGCACACTAAAACCATCTGCTTGGTTTAGATATGTGGATGACACATTGGTGGTCTGGCCACACGGCAAAGATACACTGAACGCATTTCTAAATCATCTCCACTCGCAAAACCCATCCATCCAGTTCACCATGGAAGTGGAAGCTAACAGAACTCTACCATTTCTGGATGCTCTGCTCGGACGGGGTAGAAATGGTAAAAATACACAGTGTTTATCGAAAGAAAACGCATACTGACGCCTATCTGAATGCAGAGTCACACCATCACCCCAAACAGAAATCTGCTCTTATCAAGACGCTCATTCATCGAGCTAAGAAAGTGTCAGATGGTGACAGTCTGAGAAATGAAATTCAACATGTTAAAGAAGCACTGCAAATGAACGGTTACAATGATGCACAAATCAACAGGGAATTGAGTACCAAAACCAAATCAAATAACAAGAGCATTGAAACTACCCAAGTAATTAAATCTATCAAAATACCGTACATTGCGGGAGTAACTGATAAACTAGCCAGATGTTTGAAAAAAGCAAAACATCCGAGTCAGATTTGGCACGGTACATAAAATACAGAATTTAATATCTTGTACAAAAGATGTATTACTGAAGCTATCAACAGAAGGTGTGTACAGGATTAACTGCACGTGTGGTAAATGTTATATTGGGCAAACAGGACGAATGATCAGCACGAGACGAAAAGAACATTAGAGAAATATTAAATTCTCCCAAATACAACTGTCAGCAGTGGCAGAACACGCGTGCCAACAAGGACACTCAATTGATTTTGCAAAACTAGCTACTTCTGGGCAAGACTAATTAGCGTATCTATTGAAATTGAAAGCAAAATAACTTTAACCGTTCGGATAGCTACCGTCGTAGTGCTCTGTGGAAGCGAATCATCAAATAATATATTATTTAAATGCATGCCTACAAAGGGCAGCGTACTTCAATAGGGATTATCGTTTTTAGGGCTATTTAATAAACACAATAGACAGGAAGGACAAGCTCAAAGGGCTCGCATAATGCACATGCATAATGTACGTTGCCTCAGTAATCCCCTCCTCACATTGCGCAAGGGCGCAGAACGGTGGTCAACACATCTACGCCTCTATATATGGAACGAAACAGTAAGACTTCTCCACAAATCTGTCTGTCGCCTGATGAAGCTAGTTGTTATGACTGGCAAAATGTCGTACTCAGTTTTGTAAATGTTGTGGCTTGGCTCTCCAACACACCGGTGTGCTGTTCTAGTGACGAATTGGCATGTTCTGGTTAAATGACAACCCTTACTAATTGGCTGTGTCGGGTGGTGGCGGGTCTTAACGACACATTTATATATTTTCGTGATCTAACCCAAAAACCTATTATGGATGATATTGATCGCGAAAGCCTCCGTGTTAAAATCCATTGTCATAATGGTCGTTATAGTCATCGTCTTAACCGGAATAAACATTTAAATAAATCACTTTTTGGTACTGAGGCTCCCGCAAAGTCATGCGGGAGGGCGTGTGGCACAGTTTGGCAGCAGCTATCCTAGAGTGCGGTCGTGTCACTACAGGTCTCTGCGGTGAGTACAATGTCTTTAAAAACAACGGCGCTACGCCTCTCAAAATAAAATTAACGCAAACCGCTTGCACGTTCCGAGATTCAGCGGTAAACGAGATTCATCCTGCAACTTGCAGACATCTCGGAATGTGAAAGGGGTTAATTGTGTCATCATCCTTACCAGCAGCCTGTTCACCATCATCCTCATCAATATTGTCATCACCATCGTAAACGTCATCATCGACATCACCTGTCATCACGATCAATGTCATCCTCAGTGTCCACTGGGCTACTGACATTGTGCTATGATTGGATGTTGAACTTATTTCGCACCGGACATAGCCGACCGTGCTAATTGGATGTGCGGGGGAAGGACAACAAACTAATTATGAAAAGCAACTAAAGGGATGCAGTGTGCGGTGGTAGCTCTGGCGGTGCGGTGCACGTGCGAGAGCGGGCTGAACAAAATGACTTCTGAGTGGCCGGTGTCTCTGCACACGCTCAGGGCACTGCACATTTGTACACAGCCTGCTGTCGGACAGTTTTAAAACCTAACAACTCAACATGTCTATCCATAACACCGTGTTGTAGTCTTGGATAGAAAAAATGTGTAATAGGTGACGTTTCAGGCAAAGGCCCTTCTTCACGGAGAGGTAGAGTGGATAGTTTACGGCTCGCAGCTGGAATGCAGACAATAAAAAATATAAATTTCATATGTTGGGTGTTTGTGCAGTTCAAGTTTAGTTTGTGGGACCAGGTGATAACTCAGGGGACCAGGACAGTCTAATTTGCAAGGGAGAGCTGGGGCATGTTTGCGCCAGTAGGAGGTGATGATTGCTGCTGCTGTGTAATCCCAATTGAAGTGATTTGCGGTGTACTTTTAGAATTTAGCTAATTTGGACCCTGACACCGGCAGCACACAAATTAGCCTGTTCTTGCGAAGGACACCAGGGGACATTTAACGTCCGCCATCAGGCAGACGGTGCGCAGTATTGTCATGGTTATTACAACCACAATATTAAAAATGTGAACTTTTATCTTAGCAGGTAAGGCCCACCGAGCTATGTAGCTCTTTTTTTCAGAAGCAACCTGGCTATTACAAATGATAGCTCAACGAATTGACTTATCATGTGGAAATTTAAAGCAGCCAAATACTCTAAACCAAATGTTGATTGTAAATGTAGAGGGTAAAACCTGAGGACCTGTAGAAAAATCCTCGTGACCACGGTAATAGAGATACTTCAAACTCCAAATATACAGGTGTCATGGTTGGGATCGAACCCACAACCTCCTGTATTCCAGGCGAGGTAGTTACAATTTTGTCCAGTATGTATGTTGAACTTCTTTCACACCATATGTAGCCAACCATGCTAATCGGAGGTGTGGAGGAAGGACAACAAACTAAATACAAAATGCAGTTTGAAGTAAATGAGTTTTACGCTTGTGTATTGATGCACTAGAGAGACACTATAGTAGGAGGCACTCTGTTTATAGCCTTATCAGGCACACAGGGTATATTATATCGGGTCACGACAGCAACAGGCTGCCTGACCCACAACGCTGGAGATGAGGGTAGAGACGGTATTGAAGACTTGACGAGACTTGACGAGCTCCAGGGGTCCACTCCAACAACGGCCCCGAGTCCTCTCCGGGTCCTCCTTTTTATTCCCCCAGCGTAGCCTCGCTTTATCTCGGCTACGCCCCCCTTCTCGAACCTCCGAGAAGGTTACCGGGCTTTCTCCCGTATCCCCTCCGTCACCTTCTCCCCACATCCCTTCCTCTCGCCTACCCCCTCACCTGCTGGCCGACAGGGTTGCCATGACAGCCGAGCCCGTTCTTGCCAGCATCCAGCGCTACATGCCGTAGTGACCCATTCCATGTCACTACACTTGCATACAACAACTAGCTCACAGCCACAACTTGCTTCTAATTCGTTCTTTGTTAAACCTTATAGAATGTATTTTTTACGTTCATGTGTATAATGATGGCACTTTGGGTGGGCAGATTTGTGCCAGAAAGGCATTGCGTGTTAACCAAAAATTAATTGACTTGACTGTCCACCGCCAGTTGGTAAGCCTGCCGACAGCCTCAGCTCACTACTCAAGAGCGTCAGAAACCTGGATTCAAACCTAGGTGGGTAATGCTGTATGCGGCCTGTAATGGAGCACTGTGGAGACGGAGCATTTGTGGGTCATTCTCACATTAGTAGGCATCGAGGTCGCCATGTCCTGGATTGCCAGGGTATCATGCCAGTACTGTAAGCCGGGTTAATTTCCATCTGTATGGGGATTTAAATTGGGGGAAAACCATTAATATAGGACTACAGAGCTTGGGCAATTGTTTATGCTGGTTATGGCTACTTTGCTACTCGCCTGTGGTTTCTCCGTGCCTCTGATAAATTCTACAGTGTGTTGAGATGCAATGTGTGTGAAGGACGCCATATAAATACGATATATATTTATTTATGTGTTACTTTGACTTCTGTGCAGGACAAATGGATTTTAAATCATGACGACATTGTCCTCCAGGAGAAGCTTGGACGGGTGAGTGGATTGGTGTTGTGTTGTGTGTGTGTCTATGCGTTTGTGTCTGTACGTCTGTGTTCGTGTTGGAGGAGGGGTGATGGGGATGGTGTTGAAGAGAGCTGGTGCAGTGATGAGTGTACCGCGATTAACCCATCGACCTAAGTTTGAATCATGCCCATGGCTATGTGATTGCAGTGTTATGCGTGAACATCACACCCATGAACATTGCACCACAGTCACATGTGGGAACATTGCACCACAGTCACACACATGAACATCGCACTGCATAACATAGTAAAAAAAATGGTAACATAATAGAATGGTTCAGATGCCAGGGGCGTGCATGGGCTAAGGAATGAGTGACAGCGATAGAGGTGTTATGAAAGGGTAGGAGAGAGATGGGAAGGAGTGGATGAGCGAGGGGAGGGAAGGAGGAAGAGAATGGGCGATAGGGAATAGGTGAGCTCTGTTTGTAATCGTGGCTATCGAGTCGCTGTGTGGCCTCAATTGCAGAACAAGCAACACCGTGGATAGCCATGGTTTCACGTCGCAGGTTCCACTGTCTCATGCTCTTACATCGAGCGCCTTCAACAAGAAGGGCATCAATGGCTGACACCCCCCAACGCTGTCGTTCCTCTGTCTGTGTCAGGGAAACTTCGGGGAGGTTTACAAGGGCCTGCTCAAGCCAGAGAACGTGAGCGTGGCCGTGAAGACATGCCGGGACAACCTGCCCACGGACATGAAACACAAGTTTCTCATGGAAGCTCGGTGGGTGGTGGGAGCGCACCCACATGAGGGGCACTGCGCACTCGTAACGCCTCGTGTGTGTGTCTCTGCCACTCGTAGCATTGTTTAATAAACAAAAGGTGCCAATGCGTTTCGCCGCACGTTGGTTTCATTCATTTCAGAGGTAAACCGTAGACAAGCGAGAATGCAGCTGGAACCGGTGCCAATAATTGCCAAAGCTCACATTGTTGTGTTTGGCCAACTCTTATACCATGTAAGTGTTTTGTACACGTGGTAGGAGACCGGAGTAAACTAAAATATTCTTTTTTTGACCAGGTAAGGCTCACTGAGCTATATAGCTCTTTTTCAGAAATGACCTGGCTACAAATGATTGCCCAACTAAGTGACTTATCATCATAATGTGGAAACTTTGTAGCAGCCAAATACTCTAAATGCGTGATGTTGAGTCTAAATGTGGAGGGGAAAACTGGAGGACCCGGAGAACAAGCCACACGACCATGGGCAGAACATGCAAACCCTAAATAAACAGGCGTCGGGGTCAGGATTGAACTCATGACCTCCTGCATGCAGGAGGTCCGTTTCAACACATTACATAAAATCCGAGACAATTTCAACCGAGAAGATGGATTCTGGTTTAGCAATCATTGGAACAATTTGATAAACCATTTCGGGTCTCAATTTATTGTTCACGCTTACGGTGGCTTTCAGACAGCATACATTAATTTTTCGTCTCCCCCCTCCTCTTTTCTGAACATAGATGGACTCGTCCATCTAAACAAACTGTCAAATCGCTATCCGTGGTGCTAACGTTTAACAATAAATAAATAAAAACCGCCACTTTCAAATGTTCTTGCCGTTGGTTTTCACACCTGATGATGATTGCTTGTGTTGCAGTCGAAACGTCGTGAGAATTTATTTGTTTTATATATATTATTGTTTCCCTTCAACGTGACTTTATCGAAAGAACCAAGAATATGAATCACTGCAGTCACGAAAGCTTTAAATCAAAACTACAAATTTCAATCGGTGTGAGGTGAGCGGGCCACCATGGGTTTTGGGCACGGTCTCTGCTGAGAAGCAGGTTTAACCACGAACAGCGGGAACCCAGAGATTGCACCCAGGATCTCGGCAGCGCCGACCATCATAAACTATAAACTAAACGTAACAATTTTTATTTTGGCAGGTAAGGCCCACTGAGCTATTTAGCTTTTTTCAGAAGCGACCTGGTCACAAATGATAGCTCAACGAAGTGGCTTATCCTCATTTGGAAATTTATAGAAGTCAAATACTCAAAACGCATGTTGATTCTAAATGTGGAGGGGAAAACCGGAGAGGACCAGGAGAAAAATCCACACGACTACGTGGAGAACTCCAAGTATACAGCACACGTCAGGGTCGGGATCGAACCCACGACCTCCTGCATACCAGGCGAGGTAGTTAACATCTCGCCACCGGGGGCACCTTCAGTGGGCGCCACATCCCCTGGGCAGGCGACGCGTTGGTTGATGTCGCTTGTCGTTTTGCGTCGCAGGATTCTCAAGCAGTACGACCACCCCAACATTGTCCGCCTCATCGGAGTGTGCACGCAGAAACACCCCGTCTACATCGTCATGGAGCTTGTGCAAGGTTCCCCCCCCCTCATTCGCTCCTCACTCATTTGCGCAACTTATTCACTCGAGTTAATTCGCTCACTCACTTTTATTACTATGCTCACTCTATCCCATTCATTCACTCTTGTTCATACGCTCAATCACTTATTCACTGTTGTTAATTCCACCGCCAGTGCAACATACTGGCCGAGCAGCACTTATTCCAGCTCTCACAAACAAACATTGACTTGCTGTGAAAGACCCAACGCAGAAGATCCCTGGGTTGGATCTTCCACGAAGCTCATGGTCTACCCTAAACCACGCCCACTGCGCAAACCATGGCAGCAAATGCGGATACCTGATGCACAAATTAAAAATGTATAACTCTCCAGTATGCGACTGTGGTCATCCAGAAAAAACCTTACGACGTATAACGACGCAATGCCCAATCCACAAATACGAAGGAGACATCACAGCGATGATACACTCCGCTGGCTCCTGACACGGTTGTCTGGCTTGACCAGATGACTGTGAAATTGTAATATGTTGCTGTGTATCTACATCATCGGCCATACTAAAGAAGAAGAAGAAGACTTACCCCAGCAGTCTGAAAAGGCTATATGAGGGGTGTGCGTGGGGGAGCGGTGGCGCAGTCGTTAGCGCATCGCACAACGAACCTGGCGACTGGAGTTCAATTCCAGCTCGCATCAATGACTAATAACTGAGCCAGTCCTGCCCCTCTCCTCGGTCGACTCAACCTTAAATGAGTCCACGGTGCGGCTGAGCGTGCTGCAGGCTACACCACTCCCGAATGTGCCGTGCTGGCCTTCATCGGCGTTTGCGAACGGCACTTGCCCCAAACAGTCCGGAAAAGGCTATACATAGAGGATATTTGTCCTTTGTCTCTGTGCATGAGCAGGTGGTGACTTCCTGTCATTCCTGCGGAAGGACACTTCACGTGTCCTCACGCAGCAGCAGCTCGTGAAGATGATGGAGCAGGCGGCAGCTGGCATGACATACCTGGAGGGGAAGAACTGCATACATCGGTATGGCCCCCCTCCCCCCCTCACAATTCCTCCTACCCACCGTCCCACCCCACAATTCTCAAAACCGAATTCAGAAACTAGATTCGACGATTCGCTTGACACTGCACTAAACCATCTTCCCGAATGCATGAAATCGTAGCGGCCCTGTAAACAGCATTCTTGAGATCCGCCCGTTTTTGTGTGCCTCATCACACACTAAAGGCTCTCCCCACTTTCATGACACAATGGGAAACCTAGAAACCCCATCGTAAATCGGATTGTCGTAAACTGGGACCCTGTTTTCGCATAGAATGTAGAAACAGTGGAAACATCACTTGACAATGTGTTTTCCTTTTATCGGCCATATCTAACAGGATTAAATAGGTGAAAAAATACACAAAAACACTTGAGAATATAAAAAATAAGTCAACTTTATTGATCACGTTACCCATGCGTGCATGAGGTACATGGCAGTGAGATTCTTTGTTCCCGTGTCGTTCTCAGCTTGTGCAAATTAACAACAAATATATAAACAGCAGCAACAATATTTAAAAATTTAAATACAATTAAAAAAACTAAGTAAAATCGATATGCAGATGATGAAAGTGGCATGTGCTTAGCAGAAATAGCGTCCCCTGCAGGTGAGCTTAAAAATGATATTGTTATGCAAAATGTTCTTGTTTGGTTAATGTCTCGTGTAGTCGGTGGGGGGGAGAGGGGGTGTGAATGGGGGTAGGGGGGAGCAAAATCGGGGTTGGTGGGGCTTGGACAGATATTGCACAAGGCTCTGCTCAGCTGAGCATCTGGATGGCCTGGGAATAGAAGCTGTCCCTGAGGCGGTTGGTGGGAGCCGCAATCCTGGGCTTCCTCTTGGATTGTTTCCTGATGAAAAGGCCATGGCCCAGGTGGCTGGAATCGGCGATGGTCTTTTGGGCCTTCGCGATGCACCTCTCTCAGCGTGGTGGGCAGCACGCCGCCTGTGATCCGATGGGCGGACCACATCACCCTCTGAAGCCTCTGCCGGTCCCGTTCGGTGCAGTTACCATACCAGGTGGTGATGCAGCCAGTCAAGATGCTCTCAATGGTGCACCTGTAAAAGTTCCTGAGAACAGGTGCCGATATTCCAAATTTCCTCAGCCTTCTGAGGTTATAAAGGGGCTGCTGGGACTTCTTCACCAGTGTTTCCACGTGCCGGGACCATTTCAGGTCCTCTGAGATGTGAACTCTGAGGAACCTGAAGCTGTTGACCCACTCCATTGAGGCCCCTTTGATGGTTAGTGGCACGTCCTTACCCCTCTTCCTAAAGTCCAGAATCATCTCCTTAGTTTTGTCGACATTGAGCTCAAGGTTGTACCCTTGACACCATGTCGAGAGTGCTGTCACTTCACGTAAGCCGTGGTGTCGTTGTTGGTGATCAGGCTCACCACTGTCGTGTCGTCGGCGAACTTGATGTTGGTGTTGGAGTTGCACCTGGCTGTACAGTCGATAGTGTAGATGAAGTACAGGAGGGGGCTCAGCACACATCCTTGGGGTGGCACCTATGTTGACGGTCAGGTAAGATGAGATGTTATTGCCCATCTTTACTGCCTGAGGTCTTCCCGTTGGAAAGTCCAGCACCCAACTGCAGAGGGTGGCATTCACACCCAAGGCCTCCAGTTTGGAGATTAGGATGGAGGGCACTATGGTATTGAATGCTGAGCTGTCTTCTTTGGTTCTTTCGGTAAAGTCACGTCGATAAACAGCATTCTCACACAGTTACCCTTCTTCACCTCCACGTGGGACAGTGCCTTATGCAATGTAAAAGCAATAGCGGCGTCCGTGGACCTGTTAGTGCGATAAGCAAACTGTATCTGGTAGGATGAAGCAGATGTGTTCCTTAATTGTCCTCTCAAAGCACTTCATGATGATGGAGGTGAGCATTTCGGGTCTGTAGTTATTAAGTCACATAATTTTGGCCTTTTTGAGGACCGGAATGATAGTAGACGTCTTGAGGCATTTTGGAACGACAGCCTGGGCGAGGGAAAGGTTGAAGATGTCTGTTAACACAGGGGGCAGCTGGGGCGCGCATGCCCTGAGGACACGTCCCGGTATCCCGTCTGGGCCGGCTGCCTTGTGTGTGTCAACCTGCCGGGGGATCTTTGTCACCTCGCCTCTGTTGAGCCTAAGGACGCCTGCAGGAGAGCTGTGGTCAATGCGATGGGGGGTAGACGGAGGTGGGGGACGTAGGGAGAGGCGGGGCGGGTTGGGACTGTGGAGCTGGCGGTGCAGTGGTTGCTGTGTTTGCCTCGAACCGTCCGTAGAAGGTGTTAAGCTGGTCGGGGAGGGAGTTGTTGATTGCCTTGCAGCTTCTTATCCTTTTGTATTCTATGGTTCTTTCGGTAAAGTCATGTAGATTGAAAAATAATAACATGATGGACTGTAATCCACGCTAAAGGCTCCTAGACTTGTAGTCAGTGGAGGGCCTCCAACTTGTCTCTGTATTATCTCTTGCCCGCCTTGATGGCTTTTCGGACCGCGTATTTGGCCCTCCTGATTTCAGTGGGGTCTCTGGATTTGCATGCTTTGTGTCGGTCCTTCAGTGCTGCTTTGACTGCCACGTTTTTAACCCTGGGGTTGTCATTTGGATAAGAATGGACAGCTCCACTCCAAGTCACAGACTGTCCAAATGCATTCGGCGTCATGACGGAAGATGCGTCCTCAATCAAGTTTCTGCGTCGTAAATCAAGTTTTTGCGTCGTAAATCAAGTTTTTGCATCGTAAATCAAGTTTATGCATTGTAAGTCGATCCATGGTAGCATTATGAATGTCGTAATTGTGGATTGTTGTAAATCGGACCTTCGTAAACCAGAGACCTAACAATAGGTCTGTCGGTCAGTTGTCTAGAGACTCTATCAGATTCTGGTCTAAAACAGTGGCTACGAACCTTCTGCTTGTTGTGTTCCCCTTACCAGACCTATCAACCGTCCGCGTACCCCTGCCAGCGTGCACAACACCCCAAATACACTTAGAACTCGCTTAACACTTAGATTTCGCCTTCCTGGAGAAATGAGCACTAATCGAATCGGCGCTCAAAGGGATCATTATACCATTGTATATTTGGGGTTGCGTTCCCGACTTATTTCTGACGTGCGAGCAGTATATGAGAGCTTCATTGGGGTATTGGTAATAGCGCGAATAATATATAATACAGATGGTAAACATTACTTTATGAATAAACATAATATTTATTTATTATTACATCAGTAAGTATTGTGTACTTTTCTCACGAGTGCATCCAACTGATGCTCACCGCCTCAACCGACCTCATCACTTGCATTTTAACATCCAAAGTGAGATTTTTAGTGATTTCATTACCTTTACAATACTTTGCACTCCTATCGTTTTTTGTATTGTTATTGTAACTTTGTGACCTGCCCCTACTGGACATCTGTGACAAAGAGCTTCATAGCTCATTGGATTTATCCAGTATAAATAAAGATTCTGATGATTCTCTTTTTACACTTTGGTCACATTTCCAGCACTAACGCTTGCAGGCCTTTTCCCATACATTACGGGTCTAAAGTGCTCATTAAAATAACACCCCAAAAAAATGTCGAGGGAGAGAGAGACCAAGGCGGAGGGAGATGAAATGTCGGTGGGTGGGGGGTGTGTTGTTTATAAACTCGCGAGTGCTGCCGCGTGGCTCTGAGCTTTCAGTGCCTGCCCAAGCGTTTCCGTGCTCTCACTTGGTTCCCCAGGACAAAGAGCGTGATAGCGAATCGGCGTTCTATGGGGCCATTTCTAAAAGCGAGGCCTTCCTATAACTAAATAATTGGCAAATATAACTTTTATTACATTGACATGTGAGTAAACACCTAAGACATTTAGTTCACGCTTAATCAAACCAAGCACAATTTTATATTTACACTTTTTGATGACACTTCAGAAATTACGACTCTAAAGTTGAATATGAGTCCGCCTGCCATCGCCGTGAAGTGGAAGGGGAAGGCTGTGGGTCACCGGGTGCGGAAGGACAGAAGGGTTTTTCTGATGTACGTTTGTGCCTCTGCGTAATAAACGTAAAATAAACATTGCCTCACGAAAGAGACGCCAGCGCCCAGCACAACCACCCAAAACGGACTGGTGTCCGAGCACGCGGACTCCCAGATCCCAGGTAGGGACACCGTTCCCCGCTTTTTGTACTTAATTTGTTGTTCTTCCCCCACAGCTTCGATTAGCGCGGTTGTCTACGTACGGTGTGAAATAAGTTCAACATACATACTGCTCATGGACTCAACACTACCCATAGACTCAACACTGCCCATAGACTAACACTACCTATAGATATAAAATAAAAATAAATCACGACATTTCGATTGCAACACAAGCAATCATCATCAGGTGGGAAAACCACAGCAATACATTTTTTTTGCTGAAGTGGGAGAGAGATGCCGTGGTAAGAGGTTGTATAGGTAAGAGAGGGGGAGGGGCAAGGGGGGAGAGAGGGGGGGGTCAGGAGAGGGGAGCGTTGCGTGGATGCTAGGAGAGAGACGTGAAGCTGGATGGGGGGAAGTGGGTGGGGCTGGAAGTGGGAGGCTGAGAGAGCTGGGGATGCGGAGGGGGAAGATGCAACAACAACGCCACTGCAGCAACAATGCCAATGAAGAAACAATGCCAATGCAGCAGCAATGCCAAACGCTGCAGATGCAATTAACTCTGCACTTCCCCCCATCCAGCTTCACGTCCCTCTCCTAGCGTCCACGCAGCGCTCCCCTCCCCCTACCCCCCTGTCTCTCCCCCCTTGCCCCTCCCCCCTATCTTACCTATATAACCTCTTACCACGGCAAGTCTCTCCCACTTCAGCAAAAAAAGTTGCTGTGGTTTTCCCACCAGATGATGATTGCGTGTGTTGCAATCGAAACATCGTGATTTAATTTAATTTTATACCTACGTTACTTTACCAAAAGAACCAGAGAGTATGGATTCCTGCAGTCACGAAAGCTTCAAATCTAGATTACTACCCATAGACTCAACACTACCCA